CCAGTGCACTTTTCCACACCTAACAGTGTGGGCAGCCAATTTAAGTCTTTTTTTTTTCTTTCTTTTTGAGACAGGGTCTCACTATGTAGATCAGGCTGGACTTGTACTCACTATGTAGCCCAGGCTGGCCTCAAACTTGTGGTGATCCTCCTGCCTCAGCCCCCAGAGCACTGTTTTCACAGGCATGAGCCACCAGGCCTGGCTAATCCAATCTTGTAAATCTTTATGTACTTACAGATCTTTCATTAAATCTGACACAGATTTGGGCACTGGGAAAGACTCTAGGGAAGAACTATAAAGATGACTTTTTTTAATGGCTTTAGTGGTTCCTGGATTTGGCTCTCTAATTTGATGAGACCTACAGATACCCTGGTTTCTCCTTCTGAGGTAACTATTAACTTGTCACCTTTAACCGTCTGAACTAGATTTGTGGTTATGTAACAAAATAGAATAAACTAAATAATTGTATGCAATAAATAAGCCCTCAATATGGTGATTTTACCCTAAGGGGAGAAGATTCAGAATAGATTAGGGGGAAAATAGAGAAATAGAAAAAGAGATTAGAACCAAGGCCAGAGGACAAAGGAAGATCATACAAACTTTGGAAAACTGGTGAAGAAGACAGGAGGTAAAGAGAGGAGGAAAAAATAAAAACAAGAACAGAACAGAACAACAACAAAGAAAGTAGAAACCGTGGTCACACTCATGTAAAAACAAGAACAAACAATCAAGAAAAAATAAAAACAAGAACAAAAACCAAAAAAGAGGAAAACAAGAGATAAAAGGAAAAAAAATCCAATTCAAGGCATGTCTCTGTGTCACTGGTAGACAACATAGGTAGACAGAGTCCAGATCCAAGGTGTTTTTTGGGGGTTTTTTTTTGTTTTTTTGGTACCAGGGATTGAACTAGGGACATTGCACTTGCAAGGCAGGTGGCGGAACCACTGAGCTAAATCCCCAGCCCTGGATCCCAGCTCTTTAATCCCAGCAAGCCAGTGGTTGATTTATGGTGGGGTGGTGGAAAATCCCAGCAACCCTGGACCTTTAGTTCCACTGTGGTTCAGCCTGATTTCTGGCTATGAGGCTGGAACTGGATTTGTTGAGTCTGCCACAGTACGTGTGCCTCCTGCTGCTGGCTTGAACTCCACTCTCTCACCTCCTGCTGACTTGAACTCAGCATCCTCACAAAAATACAAAGAGCCAATAGATGCAGCCAGCCTGTAGCTGTTCTGGGCTCTGAGCTCAGTTGGCCCCTCTCCAAGATGGCTACCAGCCAATCCCCCTGTCCTGGCTGATGTCTGAACCCGAATAACTCACCAGCCATTTCAGCCTGCTGCATCCACTGCACTGTTTCACTGGTGCATTTCTCTGTGGAGGCCTCCGGAATCACCAGTAGTCACCCGGTGTCTGCAGTTGCAACCCACGCTTTCCACACCCTAGTCCAGACTCTGGGACAAAGCCCCACCTGCCATGTCCCTCTTCTTCAATCACGTCTCTCTCGGCTCTCCCTGTGGACTTAAATTCTCAATTCAGATCCTTCCCGGGTCCCAGGGGTCCACTTCCTTCCTTCTTCTCCTCCTCCTCATGTCGCTACATTCCAGTACCAGGACACCAAGCCCTGGAGAGGTTCTTTCTCTGCTGCTCAGCCCTCTGCCATCTTTCTCTTCCTTCCTTTGGCCCCTCCATACTGTGGGAAACACTGATATGCTAGTTCCTGGTGGGCACTCCTTAAAGTAACACCCAAGGTAGAACCATGTGATTATCCTAATTCAACACTTGTGAGATGAAAGAAATGTAGTGACTTCATATATGATACTTTTGAATATTTTTGGCAGAGCGGGAAGTACAGTGAAGCTTGCCGGTTGCTCTTAGCATCTCTAGGACTATCTGTGTTCTTTTTGCTCTTCTTTTCACATACATCACACAGCAAAGCAAAAACAAATGCATATGGGTAGTCGGCAGAGAAGTAGCTCTAACAGCCCCATGTGCCTGCACTGAGATCAGAGCCCTGCCAGCCCCGAGAAGCCGTGGGGCACTGGTCCTGAAAGCCTCTTCTGGCGCCAAAGACAAAAACTACCCGGAAGGTTTTGCCAATGATTCCCTTGCTTTGCATTATCACTTTACCACCTACATCTGCACCATAAACAGTATATTTCATTGTTTTTATAAACATTATATAAGAAATATAAAAGTTGATTCCTTTCCTGTTTTAAACCACATTAAACACTTTTCCAGCTTAATCCATTTTCATGTTCATAGGTCTAATTTACTTACTTTAATTACTAAACAGTATTCCACATTAAAATAGGCCACCACATTTATTAGTTAAGTCACCATTGATAAATATATGTGTGGTTTCCAGTTTTTTGGTATTAGGAACCCTCTTGTTTACACCTTGAGTTAACCAGCCACGAGAATTTTTCTAGGACGACTATCTCAGATTAGAGGTGTAAAATCCGAACATGTTCAGCTGGGCCAGGTAATGCCAAAGTGTATCAGTTAGTAGATAGTCCATATTCTTGCTAAAACTTGGATTTAACTAACTTTAAAGTTTTGCCATTGGCTGGGTGTGAAATGGTATCTTCTTGTGGCTTCATTTTGTGTTGTCCTGATGATTAATGTATGTTCATTATTCATTTATATTTACCATGGAAAAGATGACTGATAATTTGGTATTTGTGTTTCTTCTACTCATTTTTCTATTGCATTGTTTCTTACTGACCATTGGAAGTGTTTATTTATTTTAGATTTATATTCTTCCTTGTCAGTTATCTATTGAAAATTTCTTTTAAGAGCTTAACTCTTATAGTTTTATCTTCACTGCGGCATATTTTTAGGTGCAAAAGTTCCTGACTTTTAATGATAACTTATTGATATTTTCATTTTCTTTCTTACCCCACAAGTTATTAAAATGCACTCAAATTCTTCTCTAAGATTCACAGTTTTACCTCCTAAATCTAAATTTAAATTTAAATGTATGTACTGCATGAAGAATCTGTTTCCTTCTTTTGTAAATGGACAACCAGAGGCAGGGATGTAGCTTAGAGGCACCGCACCTGCCTGGCAAATTGAAGATGCTGAGTTCAAAAAATAAAAACAAAAACAAAACAAAACAAAACTGAATAGATAACCAATCTTCTTAGCTGCATTTCTTAACAATGCACTCTTATCACACAGAATTATGTTCTTCAATCACCTGTAAAGATTCTCTATATAGGTCTTTTTTATTTTATTCATCTACTTGTCTGTCCTGCAATAACCACACTTTGTAGTTAACTATTGCTTTATAATAATTTCTGAAATCGGATAAATCAAGTCCTCCTTCTTAATTCTTCACAAGTAATTTTCAGTTGTTCATATTCACTTGTATTTGCCCGCGTATTGGCTCTTTCAACTGTTTTTCATTTTTTGCTGTATTTTAATGATTCTATTTAGAATCATTTTTACTTCTACCTGAAAAAAACTCCATTCAATATTTGTATTGGTGCAGATCCTTCACTGTTTTTTAGGTTTTTATTATTAGTGTCTCTTTTACCTTCACTTTTGAACATTTTTGTTAAATATACAATTCTAGTTCTTTCAGTATCATAAACATATTTCTAGTTTTCTCCAGATTCATCATATCCATCAATTAGTCATGTCGTATTGTTGTACATTTGAAAGTAATGTTTATTTCTAATGGCTTTTTGAAAGCTTTACAAACTGTAAGCCAAATGAACCCCTTCCCTTCCAACTTCTGATGTGAGGTATTTTGTCTCAGCAATAAGAGAAAAGTAACTAACACACAGTACAAGCTTGGCAGATCACAATGAACTACTAGACCAAGGGAGCAGTGTAACTTCGATGTTTCATACTGATTTTATTTAAATAATTAGATGAAGCTGATGGTTATCCATAACAAAATAAAATTAATCAGGCAATTTGCTTACAATGTCATATTTAAACATAAGTGAAACTTCTGTGCAAACACACAAAGGAGAATTTACCACGTTCATTGTGAATGCTGAGAGGGAATGGACAATAATGCTTAAGAAATACTGAGGGCTTAGGGAAATACTTTTAAAATTAAATGTTTTCATTCAAGGATTTAAAAATATAAAAATAAGTAATCTAATTTTGAAGAAATCAGGCTCTAAGTTACTATACTTTTCACCAGCTAATCACAATTCTTTCTGCAAAATTATGAGCATGGATTACACCAGCATGGTAAATCAAACGGCTGCAAGCTGTTTTAACAGTAACCATAATAGTCCAACCAGTTTTTGAGACTGAGCTAAAAGTTCTCTTGATTCAGATGAGAGAAATTACTTTATCATTGACTAAACCAGTATGATTGCCTGCTTTAATCCCAGATTTCTTCTGAGGCTGCAGCAAAAACTCCAAAAATCTACCCACACTGACTACTGAAGACAAGAAGCATGCGAAGCACCGCTGTGTCCTGCTCTTCTGACCAGTGACCTAGTGATTTCCCTGACTGTCCTTATTTCAGAATCTGCAGTGGGGTGCGCGAAAGAAGAAAGGAAGCACAACTATGCGTCTATCTCCAGGCCACTGTGTAGGTGATCACCAGAGACTGCGGAACCAAAATCTGTAGAATTCTTCTAGTTTTGAAAGAAAAGACGCTGTCCATTGGCAGCTTGTTCTTCTGTTTAATTCCAGTTTTCATGCTCCAGGTGGCGCGGTGGAGCTGGGCTCTTTGTTGGCATCATGGGTCAGCTGACTGGAGAGGATGGGGCTTCTGAACCCCCACAGCGAGGGGCTTTGCCACATAGGAGGGGAGATGAAAGCTTCGCTCCATGACCTGGGGACCAGGTTCCTTATCGCTGGACAGTGGGGCCCAGCGGCCTTGCTCTGTGCCCACTCCACATATGTGGGGCTCCTGTCTCCACAAAGGCAGTTGATCTGACCCGACAGAAACAGAATTTTCAGTACTCACATGAATCATAAAGTCCCGCAGAAGAGACTGATAATAGTGGCTACAGCACAAGCCTAAGGTAAGAAACACAAAAGGAACTCATTCCCAAACTATGCTGAACTGAGCTTTTAAAAACTGAGATGGTCCTGGTTGGCTGAGTCCAAGACTGCACCTGGCTCTGCTCCGGAGCTCTCTTTGTGCACTTCTGATGCCCCCACCTGGACTCTGAGCGACTTGGGATCGAGCTCTGGTTTTAAACACACTGGCATTCCTTTCTGCCATGTGGTCCTCTGCCCCTAGCTGGTGCTCTGCACTTGACCTGTGCCAGCTGGCAGGGAAAAGTCAACAGAGATGGCTCTGTGGATCTTCTGCTAGTGCTGTTGCCATGGCTTTCCAGGTACAGGGAAGGGACTGGCTCAGAGCCAAAACCGACCTGTGTCTCCTTTTCACTCTACCTCCTAACCCAATCTTTAGGGACTCTTTCACTACAAGCATTTCCAAGACATCTAGACAAGGGCTGGGGATCTAGCTCAATGGTTCCGTCACCTGCCTTGCAAGCACAAGGTCCCGAGTTTGATCCCCGGTACCAAAAAAAAAAAGGGACAGCTAGACATGACCAGGGAAGTATCACTCATACTGGGACACAGACAAGTGGCCCCCCAAAAGTGGGTCAAATTATAATAGAGTGAACAAGGAAGCAGACATTCAAGCCAGGCACGGCGGTACACTCCAGTAATCCCAGCCTCGGGAGGCTAAGGGAGCAGGGTCCCAAGTTCAAGGGCAGCCTGGACTACATAGCAAGACCCTGTCTCAAAAAAGTAAACATTCTAATCTATCCCTGAGAGGCAGGCTAACAATAAGTCCTTAGTTTTTTTCTGAGTGTAACTACATTCCCATCAAATCATTGTTCTATGGTTGGGCTTGCAGTTATACATACCTCTATTAAAAGTACCTTTATTAGGAAAAAATAATGTGCTTTTAGCTGCTCAAGGAAAAGTAACTATAAGATATCTTGTGACTTTCTAGCAGTGCCACGAGTAGTACCAAAAACCCAAGCAACTTCTGAAAATACTAAATTATTTAATTATTCAGGCAAGAGTAATGGTATATACTGTATATAAAACTCTATTAATTACACCTTTCATATCCAATTTTTAAATGTACCTTAATATATAGGCCTTGCTCAAATTAGGCAATAAAGTTGTACTGAATTCATTATTTGGGGATACACAGCAGCATATGTATAGAAGTGGAATTCAGAATGAGTTTTCCAGACTAAGAAACCTACATCCTCTATAAAGAAATCTGAAGAAGCATATACGGTAAAAACCATGAAGGGAAAGTATCAGAAAATGTAAGTAAAGCTGCTATTTTAATGGCTTCCTTCATCAGCAGAACTGTTTTTATTGGCTTAAAGATTCTCTACGCCTTTCCAATGGATTATGACACAAAGCTTGTTCTAAAATATCCTCTCGGATGTAAAAAAGAACAATGATGCCAGAGGCCGAAGCCCAAGAGATTTATCATAATACAACTCCTGGCAAAAGTCTTCTATCAAAGGATATTTAACTCTATTTCTACCTGAGGCAGATTGAGTTCCCAAGCAGCCTGAGAACCTGGGTTGATTTTATGCTTCCTCGGTGGCCTGGCTGGACTTCACAGACAGCCTGGGATCTGGCTGAAGCCCAGCCCCTGCTAAGACTCACACCTCTGAAATCCCCAGGACAAACCCTGGATCAACCTGTATCCCAGGAACACTTCCCACTAGAACATGGGACACACTTTCTTGGAGCCACTTACAGAATCGTATCTGTGTAAGTCCCAGCCCCCGAGAAAGACCGTTAAACTCCACATAATCAAAAATAAAGAGCCACTGTGAACTTGCTCAAAACGATCTAGCAGACCACTGTATTACTAGAGTTCTGAGTGAACGTGGTTAGGGTGTAGATTGGAAATGTCCCCAGAAGTCTCACTTATTCAGAAGCAGGGCCTTTGGAAAGTGGTGAGATCATGGCGGGTTCTGTATTCTTTGGTGGGTTGGTCCATTGGTGAGTCCGGAGCTGTGCAGGTGGGAGGCAAGGACTGGAGGGAGGAGGCGGGTCATCATGGGTCCTGACCTGGGGGTGCATCCGTGTCCCTGGCCGCCTCCCTCCTTTCAACTGTCTTTCTGGCTGCCATGGGGTGAGCAGCTTTCTTCCACTATGCCATTTCTGCCTCAGTATCAGCCAACTACGGACTGAATTCTCTGAAACCATGAGCCAAAATACACCTCCTATTTCTGTAAGCTGTGGGTGTCGTGTATTTTGTCCCAGCAACAGGAAAGTGACTCCACACACGGTGCCCTTATATAACAGCAATGCACTCAGATCTGTTTCTCTAAAGCTCCACGGCATTTCAGTACAGCCCAGCTGCTCACGGCTTATATAATTTTGTTTTTGTGGTGAGATGAAATTTCTCACTGGAAAGCACTCAGGATCCAGGTAAAGATAATCACTTACCAGGCTCCAGGGAGGGAAGCTGGCCAACATCTGCCATCTGGCCATTCTTGCCAGACGTAGGATGACTCACAGTCCTGAAGTTCTGATCTTCCTTTAAGACCACGAACTGCAGAAAAGACAAGGGAGAGGAGGTATTGTTATAATTCACAAATCATCTCGGTAAGCATTAATCACGGTCTATGTGCATCCCACGGAAGATGACAGTTGGGAAAACCCTTGTCAAATTTCTCTCTCTGGCTAACGAAAGATTCCATTTTTGATTAGAAATCTTGAGTTACTTTCTACTAAAGCAATTAGGAAATGGGGGGCGGCAGTCCTGGGGGTGGAATCAGGGACTTCGCAATGAGCCACGCCCCAACCCTTCCTGCATTTCTCACTTGAGACGGGTTTACTGTGATGCTGGCTTGGCCAGGCTGGGCTTGACCCTGCCATCCTCCTGCCTCCCCGAGGGCAGGATCACAGCCGTGGGTCTCCAGGCCTCGCTATTACCAATATTTTTACCACAGAATCTATCCCAATTCTAGACTCCTTGGGCCATGCACCACTGGGTGCTACCATTTTACTGTCAGTTGTGCACTGAGTGTTCTAAGCACTGCCCATTGGCCTGCCTGTAGCAGCATATGAATCTGCTACAACTTTAAACACACACTCACACACACACGTATGTACAGTTCATTTACGTGTACTACCAACTTCTGAGTAATTTGGGGTCACAAGTAAATACTAATAACTGAAGGTGTGAGCACTCCTCTGTAGGGGCCCATGAAATATTTTCTCGTGGACGAACAGCATCAGAACAGAAATTCTAAAAGGGAGGCCCAGCAAACACTTCTCTTTAGTCAACAAAATGATTGCTTTGGCCATGATGTGCATGGCCCAAGGCCGCTATGCAGGCCGGGCAGGCGCTGGCTCACCCTCCAGCCAGGTTAGGTACTAAACAGGTCGGCAGTAAAAGGCAAGAACAGAAGTGACCCATCTCCAGGACCAAGCCCTCCTCTGTGCATCAGTAACCCAGGCGGGGCTGCCCACGACCGGGACGGAGTGCACTCGCCTGGTTCCGAAACGGGGCCTCCACAGCAAGGGGCCCGGAGCTCGGCAAGGTGTGGAAAAGCGATTAGGAAGAAAAACCCGCTCTGCCCACGCTTCCCACTGAGACAAGCGTAGGAAGAGGAGATGAGCATGGAGTTAATTAGGGAGAGGGAGGGACACGTGTAAGAGCAGGGGACTCTCACGGACGCGCGTGCTCATCTCCTCTCCCACGGCACTGACCACTCGGTCCCTCCTCACTCACGGCCGCTCTGCAGCAACACTGCAAAGCCAGTGCGGGACCTGCTGGCTAAGGGCGCAGGCCCAGTATTTCCGGCTCAAATAAAACTCCGGCCCTCTGCACTGCCAATTTTCCAGCCCTGTGCTGCTCTGCCGGAAGGACCCGGGCTGCAGAGTTCTGGGCTGGGATGGGGAAGCAGCTGACGGAAGCAGATTTGTTGCTGCTCTTCCCTCCCAGTTTGGGTGCTCAGCTCTCCCCCACTGGCCCTGGCATCCGCCGAGCAGCTGGTGAGGCGAGATATGACTGCGGCCGGGAGGACGGGGCCCAGCAGGCACCCCGTGGCAGCAGCCAGTGCCTTTGATTGTGTTTCCTTCCTCCCACTTATTTCAATGACATGAGTCAAACCTGGAACCCAAAACCCACATGAAATACCTTGCAGACTGTCAGGTATGACGTGGGGGACTTAGAAACCCAGCCGCGAGGCCTCAAAGACCCGCGCACGCTCGGGTAGCTCAGTCCTCCTGAGAGGGGAGGAGGGATCTCAGGGACCACCTGCTCCGAGCCCTGGTCCTGGGGAGGACGCTGAGGTCCCGCAGAGCTCTTAGTACAGCTGGGACTCACATTTCTTATTGCCTTTCCACCCGCATGCTCAGCTCAGCTCCGAGGGCCTGCAGCAGTGCGAGCCTAGGAGAGGTCTCCGGGAAGGAAGGCCAGGTGGAGGCGGGGAGCGAGGCGGGAAGGCCGAGGGGAGGACCTCAAGCACTGCCGTAGCCCGAGGCGTCTTCCTAACAGCGCTCCCCCAAGGTTTCAGTCCTCCCCCGGCCTGATACCCATTCCACCCACCACGGGTAACCCCAGCAGCACCCGCGGACTCGGCCAAGGGCTCCACCTACAGCATGGAGAAAGCCCGCCCTGTCTCAGGCCGCCCTCTAGTGCTCGGAACTGGTCACTGCCGCGGGTGATCACAGCCCTACTGCGCCCACTGGAAAATACCCAGGGCTGGCAGAGCGTACGCTGGGTCCCAGTCGATTCGACTCTGGATTAAAACTTGGGGTTTCATTGTAAGGTGAATTTAGACATTCTGATTTTTTGTTAAATCTGGCAACCATTTTGTTACTAAAGTTTATGGACTTAAAATGTGTGCAGGAATAGAAAAAGTAAGACAACCAGAAGCATAATTTGGAGTTTTTAGGATACCCATCTGAAAAGGATCATTTAGGGCCGGGGATTTAGCTCAGGGGTTCCACTGCCTGCCTTACAAACACAAGGTCCCCAGTTCAATCCCCGGTACAAAACAAAACAAAACAAAAAAACCTTATGAAAAGGATCATTTAAAAAATAGGGGAAAACGTCATACGACACATTTTTAAAAATCTAAGTTACAGGACAAAAGTGCACAATAGAAAAGAGCTACCTACAGCTCTTGCGCCATTGAACTATGGCGCTATTTTAGGCCATCAGACCCCCTTCATGTAGAACACAGCTCCCCCATGCACCCCCAGGACTCTGCTCGTGGGGTGTGGCTACAGGGTCAGGACCCCAGCGGGGAGCTGTGACGATTCCAGTCCCTCTGAGCTCTGTGAAGAAGGACAAAGGAATGAACGGGGATGCATGACAAGCCAGTTCCTAGCTCCATCTACTTCGGTCACATTACCCAAGGTTGGGGGCAGGCAGACACCCCAGCCTCGCCGTCGGCCGGCCTCCGACTGCTCACGTCTCTGCACGACTCCTCATAAGGATTCTTCGGGGTTTTCAGCGCCAGCTTCTTCATCCTGAGATAAAGCCATGATCTGAGACAATCTCAGAATAAAATAAAGCACTCATGGCACTCACTGATAGCCAAGGTCAACTGTCTTAGCATAAATCCATCAATACTGCGGTACACACTCAGGAACAAGCGAGGTGTGGTCAACATATGTGGTGAATGTTTGGCTAAAGAAGATGCATTGCCACGAATCCCCCTGACCATCCCGCCCAAACACACCCCATCGTTTCTGCCACATTCTGAAGCAAGAACAATGGAATAAGTATGTTTAAACCAGGGACAGAGAGGAGTGTTTTGAAAGGGATTAATGGCAATATGTCTTCTCCTGTAGTACGCTTTTAAAATGTAAACATTCACCGTATTTTTCAGTCACGCCATGAGCTGAAAATGTACAATCAGGATCCAGAGCTCGTGCTCTCAGCCACTGCCCCAGGACGTGGCAGGACCTTGGGTGAGAGCAGCTTGCCTGACGTGTGGAATCTTCCAGAACACGAGGCTGCTGGCCCTGGAGTGGCTGTGGGTAAATGCGGCTGAGTTGGCTCTGCAGGCGGCAGTGGGTTCACTGTATAATCCCAGAGACCTGCACCTGTGAGTGAGGGGGTCTCATGTTCTTAGCCATAAAATGATGCATTGAGCTAAGTAATTCGAGTCACCTTCAGCCCCCCATTTATGACCCCCTGATTTTGTACAGCACGACTGTAACACGCACGAATGTTCTACAGTGCTGATAGAGCACTGAGTGTCCTCCCCTCTAAGGATATGGAAGCCGACTGCTGCTGTGCTGGGTAGCAGAGTGTTAGTTCTTAAAAATTACATGTATGTTCCTGATGGACAGTTTTAAACTGTTAACCCTAAATTACTGAAGACACAAAATCCAAGGACCAGAAGCGACTTTCTTTAACAAAACCTAGTATTTTGCGGGCAGTGAACTGGACAGAAGTCAGCTGTGAAGACTTGTGGCTCTGAGGCATGGGGTGGAAAATTGCTGTGCTCAGTGACAGCCACACACTGAGCAGCGTGGGACCCAAGCCCAGGACAGACCAAGGACAAGCAGGCTCTGCTGCCAGGCATGGTGGCACCCAGGGCTTTCAGAAAGCTGTTATTCCACCTTTTCAACGTGGCCAGTGTGGAGCCGAAGCTCAGCCCAAGGAGCCGTCAGACCCTTCCCTGGCCGGGCAGGCTTAGACAGCTGGAAGCGCGGACGGGCGGAGGTCACCTGTAGCAGCGTGCCCCCCACAGCCCCAGGAGGAGCAGCAGGACCAGCGCCACCACACAGATGGCTGCCACCGTGACGTCCCGATGCTGCCCGTGGCCGGCGTGGCGCAGCTCCCACCATCTGAGGTCTCGGTGCTGGCAGCGCTCCCCGACGTAGCCGATGACACAGCTGTGACACAGACAAACAGCGTCAGGGACCGGCTGATATGCTGGTTTCCCCTCCCGCCCTCCGTGCAGCCCACTGCTAGGAGGGCCATGGACGCCCTCAGGGGTCGGCCAGCACCGGGCTTTATGCCGCCCTGTAAGGCACTGCTGCTCACACTGATCGGCCAAAGTCCTGGGAGCCACCTCTTAAACCAACACAACAGCCCTGCCATAAGGGCAAGAGGGTGCTGGGAACAAACGCTGGGCCAGGTCCTGGCAAGCACAGGTCGAAGGCAGAGTCCCCCACTCCCGCTCCCGCTCGCCCTGGCCATGAAGGAAGAACGCGTGTGGCCGAACAGGAAGCACAGTCCAGGCCGGGGACGGGTTGGCCCCCCCCTTTCTAAAATCACCGCTGGCCCCAGAGAAAAAGTGCCAGTGGTGATGCACAAGCATCTGCCTGTTTTCTTCAAGGGGGGAAACAATATGGAAAAGAACAGTGACCCTCATTCACAAACGTGTTCCTGTCCAATGAGCAGAACTGTTACTAGAATTAGCAGTGACCAATTTACTGTTAAACCTTTAAGGTGCGTAAAACAGCGCTGCCATCTACTGGGAATGCTCATTTCCAGAAATGACTGGGACTTCTGCAAACAACTGCAGTCCGTTACTCTTTACGAGGGCGCCAGCTTGGAACACACCTGTTACGAGTCTTTCCTGTGGCCCTGCACCCAACATCACCCACCCGTGTTCCCAAGTCACTGCAGAGGCTCCCAGTGGGACCTGGACAGAACTCCAGGGGTCTGTGCTCCAGCCCCTGACATGTCCACTTCGCAGGAGCTGGAGGCCACTTTCGGAGACGGGAGGGGAGGAACCAGCCTGGCCCCATGCTAGCTAGGCACTTTTCCTGGTTTCCTGTGTTTTCGGTTTTTTTCAGTGCCGTGGATTGAACCTGGCCCCTTTGCACTGAGCTACATACCTAGCCTTATGTTTTTGAGGCATGATCTTGCTAAATCACTAAACTGTCCAGGCTGGGCTCAAACTTTTGATCCTCCTGCCTCAGCTTCCCAGAGTGCTGGGATCACAGGCGTGCACCACCATGCCTGGCTTACTCATTTACTGTTTGTTTGTTTGTTTTGTGGTACCGGGATTGCTTTTTGCTGGTGTGTCCCCATTTACAGGTGAACAGACTGAGGCTCAAAGAGGACAAGGCCACACAGCTAAGGAACGACAAGTGTGAGTCAATGGTTCTCCCACCTTATCCCGGGTTTCCTGGGCGCTGCCTTGGTTCTCACTGTCCTGTTACAGCCAAGTGGCACGAAAGCCCAGCAGCCACTCGGAAACGGCTGGGTGCTAGCAGGCCCCACCCGAGCTTCTCAGAGACTTGGGGTCTTGAGGAACACGTCAGTCACGTGGCCAAGAGTCGGGCTCAGACAGCGGAGCCCTGAGCTTCCCCGGCCAGGCCACAGGTGGTGGGAGGGCACAGCCCCCACCGCTGTGATTGCTAATTGGCTCTGCTGAACCAAGCAGAGGTCCTCAGCCAAGTAAGTTCCAGTCTCCACGGCCAAATAATTAGAACACATTTGAGCCTAAGTGAGGGTAAGCAAGGCTTCTCAACGGCGCGTACGCCACGAAGCAAGCGTTCCTCAGACTGATGTGGCCACGTCGCCCTGACCTGAAGAGACAATCCGCAGCCCTGCTCTGAGGTGCAGGTCTGAGGGAGGCCGCCCGCAGCCAGCCCAGATGGCCCAGGACTCTGCGCTCTGGGGGTCGGGAGCCTCCTGGGGCCTACAGAGCCACTGCGGCCCCACTGCCCCTCCACGGGGGCTGGCAAGCCCTCCTGAGGAGCTGGCTTTTACAGAATTAATAAAACATAGGGCTAAGTCAGCAGGGCAGAAGGAGGGAGGGGTGAGTTCTTGATTAAACTGCACTTGCACTAAATGTACAACTCTGACCGAGTTATGGTTCAGTTGCCTGGATGCTGGCAGGAGTTTAAAGGCCGCTGCATGGGCTGAGGATTTAGCTCAGTGGTTCCACCACCTGCCTCGCAAACCCAAGGCCCTGAGTTCGATCCCCAGTACCAAAAATATAAATAAATAAATAAATAGATAGATAAAGGCTGCTGCAGCCGAAGGTCCTTCAACATGAGCACCATCTCCAGCACATCATTCTGTAGTAACTTATGCCTGAAACATTATCAGGGAAACGGGATATTTTCAGCAGGGTTCAGTGACAGAAAAGGAAAAGCAGTGTGGTGCTAAAGAGCTCATCAATCTTTAACGATCAGCACTGCCAGATCCAGATGGAAATCCTGCACCACCGGGCACTTAGCCCCACAGCACACTCACTCTTTGTAGTGGAAGAAGTTAAATCTCACGGAGGAAAACAAACCGTGACCGAGTACACGGCCAGGACATTTGCTTTTGCAATTTTGTTATTTGGGAGGATAAGAAACAATGAACCAATAAAAGCAATTTGATTCTTAATATTAAAGAGTACCAATTATGAGGATAACTATTGTATGTTGTAGATTTATTTTAGGTTAGAAAATCACAGAAAATACAGCATCTGTTCACAAGGACCCGAATATTTTATGGCCCCTTCTTCAGGGACAGAGAAAATTATCAGTGGATCAGGAGTTGAATCAAGGGAGATGTCTATCAGGTCCCTCATGTTGCTTTGAAAATACAGAAGTAATTAAAAGTAAAATCTGGTGCAGAACTAGAGGCTGTGAGTTTGGGTTTTACTGAAGGCTCCACAGGAAAGGTTTTCCGAGTAAGCAGGACCACAGTGCCTCAAAGCGGAAGAGTGACAGACAGGTTTTCCTGAAATCTCCTGGTCACCGTGACACATTGCTTGCTGTGAAGCTCTTCTCGGGGGCAAAAAGAGAGCACAAAACAGCAGCTGCACCCCTGCAACGGTTACCAAGAAGGCGCCTGGAGAAAATGATTCTCGGGAAGCGGAAAAAGACATGATTGGTTTCTTATTTCTCTTGGTTTTTAATTTTAAGAATCAGAGGCGATTAGTCCAATGTGAGTATGTACCATGCTTTTGTAACTCTAGAAACATTTTGTGGATGCTCCACATATTTGGCAGAAAATAAATCAGCTTTAAGAAATTCTCCAAAAAATGTTTTTCATCCAGAATAAGAAATTTAATCCCCAGACTATACTCCAGGTAATACCAAGTTATTTAAGTAAAAACATCATCAATTCCTTAGATTTATATTTCTCTCTGGTGCCTGGGGGGAGGTGGTGAGATGCAAAGTGTGCATGCGCGCACACACACACACACACACACACACATTTATGCATGTGTATTTCCCGAAGAAAAATCTAATTGCAGGGAAAAAAAAAATCTTCATATGAATTTTGGAGATCAGTAAATTGAGGAAGGAGGATAGAGAGCTGAAGGCTAGCCTGGACTACATAGCAAGCCTGAGGTTTGCCTGGGCTCTACAGCATCACTCTGTCTCCAAAAACTTTTTTTTCCTACAAATTAGCTGAAAGTCATTGTTATGGCTTGAATCCAGAGGTCCCCCCAAACCCTCGTGTGCTTATAGGTGGGACTTTTCAGAGCTGGTTGGATCTAGGGTGTGTGACGGTGGGATTAAGGGTGCATGGCACTAAGTCACTTCACTGACCATTTTGGCATACATCTGGGTGTGGAAAATGGGGATCCCCCTCTGGATGTGGGTGACACCACCCAAAAATCTGGTAGTTGAGATGGGATAAAAAGGAAAGGGAGGCTTGCTGCTCACTGCCTTCTGCTTGCCATGCCATGGACTGTTTCTTTTCTGCCGTGCCACCCTGCCTTGCAGTCAGCCATCTATGGGCTGAAACCTCTACAAACTTTGGGCCAAACTAACCCTTTCCTCCTTTAACTTGTACGTGTCAAAAGTTTAGTCTCAGTAACGAGAAAAGTAACTGAGACAATCATGGAATGCAATATCGTCTCTGCCATCAGAGAGCCAGCCTGACTTACTTGCAGGCGTAGGTGTCTACTGCTTCGATGTACATGCACACTCCGCCGTGGAGGCAGAACCCGCTGTGTGAGGGGGGACATCCCGGGTAACCATTTCTGACCAGACCGCCGCCATCTTCCCCAAGGGGAGGGGTTGAGGTCGACTCTGGAACAATCAAAAGCAATAGTGACTTGGGGTACTGGTATCAGGACTCGTTTCTGCGAACAATGTGGGATCCAGTGTCTTTTTGTGACAGTGGCAATATGAGGAGTGACAACAGCTCTTTTTATCTGATATTAGACAGACTGAGGCGCACACGAGAGAACAGCTAACCCTAAGTCACCAGAAGAATCCCATCACCGGCTGCGTACCAAAGCCAGGTTGTCACCCTGGAACACACACCCACCAAGGGAAATGACAGCGAGCTCAGACAGAATCACCAAAGGGCCAGTGGCTCTGGGGGCTTTCAGTCCCCTGCAACCCACAGTCCATTCCTTGCACACGACGCGGTCTTCTCAAAACTACTTCAGAGGCAAGACTGAAGCAGCTGGCAGAGGAAATGCTCTGATAACAGAGGAATTCAGAGCGGGAATGGCTCCTTTCACAGAATGGTTCACTGCTCCCCATAAAAGGAAAACACCGGCGTGCGTGGCTGGCTACATAAATAGCAGTTTTTCAATATCTTGAAGAAGAGCAAATCATTTGAGAAAAAAATTACATTCTAAGGCACCAGAGGCCAGGCCCGTGTGAGCTTTCCTTTCTGAGGGTGTTTTCTGCCTGCAGAGCTGAGGAGGAGGCAGCTGGCAGTGCTGGGATGGACCCCACCCCAGTCTCCAGGGTCTGGGGAAGCCAGCCCCCCTTTTGGGGTGCTGAGGACAAGATACTGCTCTTCGGGGGGAAGATTCGGGAAGCAGAGGGGCCCTTCGTGAGAGCTTAAGAAAGCAAGGAGGGCTAGCGGGCTGACTCAGAGCCGAACGCTGGCTGTCGTAACCCTGGCTTTTGTTTTCATTCTCCCTGGTGGCCCGTCCTTGCGCCGCCTGACACCTGACTGAGATGCTGCCAGTGGGTGTCCACGGCCTTCAGCTGTGCTGCCCACTGTGGAAGGCACTGGCACACGAGGGCCGGACACGTGACCCCCACCCACGCCACGCCGAGAGGTGTGCTGCAAGTGTCGAGCACGTACCGGGCTCTGAAGACTGCGTGCCAAAGTTGAAACGAACACAGAACACCTCAATTGTACACTGATTACAAATTAAATGTTAATATTTGGAAATATTAGAAAAAATACAATATATTATTATTATTATTAAAATCCCAGACATAAAACCGACCTCACTCGGCAAAAACCCTGGGTTTTTCCAGCAGCCCCAGAAATCAACCTTACAAATGAAGAGACTGGCCACCGGGTTCAAGAGAATCACCTGCCTGCCCGCCTACACTGAATTCTGAGTAATAAAAAGGATTTATCCCAGGTGCTATTAGATTAAGAAGGCCGGGGCCATTTCAGATTCTCAAGCCCTGCCTCAGTCTGAGGGAAGTCTGCCCTCCAGCCTGCCACAGCTGCATGACTTCTAGGATCTGTAAGGCAAAAAGCGGGGCCAGGCTTCCCCAAACCCTCGCCCCACCTAGACCCCCAGCAGCCTACCAGGACAGGGCAGCCCGGGCGCAGAAGGGCCGCCGGCGCACCAGCAGGTGTAGCCACCCTCCGTGTTTGTGCAGTTGGCTCCTGGCCCGCAGCTGTGCACCTGCAGCTGGCACTCATCGATGTCTGTGGGGAGGAGGGTGGGGAAATGGGACACGGAGGAGGAGGAGAGAGGTTACAACACTGACCGGAAGGTCTGGCACCTCTGCCTTCGGCTCCTGCCTCGGCACACGCACTGGGGGCCACTGATGGGTCCTCAGCTGCACGTGCATTTGGGTGTTCTAGGCTCCCGACAGAAAACGGGGATTTTCCTCAGGCCTGGAAGGAAAAGAGACTCCCCCAAACTGGAGACTGGTAAAGCACCTCCAGGCAAACATCTAGAGTCCAGATCCTAAAACTTACACTTATTTTATGCAAACAGACATCCAGCAAGTGACATAAATATCGTATCAAATGCAGCATGCCTGCTCTTTCTGCACAGATGTGAACCCTATACAAAGAAGTCATCCAGCTCTCCCAGCTCCCCACCTTCTCCCCTCTCAGAGCCACCACCACACCGTGTAGGTCCTTCCTCCTTTTCTTTCCTTCCCCTTCCTCTTCCCCTCCCTTCCCTTCCTTTTCTTTTCTTTTTCCTTCCTTTCCTTTCCTGTCTTCCTACAAAAAGAAGAGCACCCACTGCTCCTGCATCCCATGTCCCCTCCAAGCTGCAGATAAACACCAGTCCCAGGTTCCTGCAGAGACAGCAGCCCCGACGGATCCTTCCTGCACACTTGGGTGGGAGGGATGCCTCCGCTCTCTGCTGCCTCCGCTGCTGTCCAGCATGGCGCCCACGGCTGCATGGACAGCTGAGCACCGGAAATGTGTCTACTCCCTGCCGAGGTGCGCTGTAATTTCAAATACTCGCCAGATTTTGAAGGCTTAGTATCAGAATACAGAATAGCTAATAATTTTACACTACTCACATGTTAGGGTGCTACTATTTAGACCTCCTGGATTAAGCAAATTATTAGGGTTTGTCGCATCTACTCTCTTTCCCTTTTGGTGAGGTGGCCCCTAAGAGTGCTTAGGACACCCTCTGCCCAGGGAGTGGGAGCCCAGAGAGCAGCTGTCGGGGCAGAGTCTTCCCTCAGGTAACCCGTGACCTCTGTCAGGGCCTGGATTGTGTCCCTCCACCCCGATCAACTCCCAGGGTGACTGTGTCCGTGTCTGAACCTAGGTGGGAGGAGGTAACTAAGGTTTCTAAGGCCAGGAAAGCTCAGAGGGGCAGGCCCTAGGGCAACATGGGCGGTTCCCCAAAGAGGAGGGAGAAGCAGCAGCATGCACTCTCTGAACACCACAGAGGAGAGGCCAAGGGAGAACTCAGCAGCAAGGCGGCCCCGTGCGAGCCCGAAGGAGACCCTCGGCCAGAACCAAACCCGCTGCAACTTCCTCTGGGACTTGCGGCTTCCAGACTGGGAGAAGCGAATGCCTGTGCAGCCACCGAGTCCACAGCACCTGTTACGGCCTAAACCACAGGCCCTGCGCTTACGGCTGGGCTGCTCCTGACGGCCCCAAGAAGGCAGGGTCCCCGTGCGCCTGGTGCTCCCCAGCGCCTCCTGGCCCCGCCTCATCAGCCCCTGCTCAGTCCCTGTGCTCACCCCAACACGGCGCCCACTGCAGGCACTGCTGCCCAGCACCTGAGCCGGGTACTTCTCCAGCTCCAGACCCCACCCCTCATCACAGCTGTCTTCTTTCCCATCGCACCCTCCTCGCACAAAGCAAGGGCTGGCTTCCTCGCTCTGGCATTCCTACCACTGCTGGTTCTGTGTCTTTCTCGTCCTAGGAATCAGTGACACACTCATCAGTCTGAGTTCTAGCCTGAATGGTCCAAACTGACTTTTTTTTTGGTACCAGGGATCGAACTCGGATCCTTGCACTTGCGCAGCAGGCGGCGAAACCGCTGAGCTAAATCCTTGGCCCTGAACTGAGTCTTTTAAATGACTTCCTGCTATGATCTCAATGAGCCATCACTTTGAAGGAGAGGGAGAGAAACAGCCCACAGGTTCCACGGGGCAGTGACACCCGGTGGCAAGTTCAACCCTGGGAAGAGGCGGGTTAGTAAGAGTCAGAATCCAGAGTCAAATGGGTTTAAACATTTGAGGAAGGAGAACTTCTTTCCAAAGGCAATTGAATAGGAGGTCTGTTTGTCTAAATTATCTATGAGCCTGCTTAATTAGAGCGGTGACATTTTCCTGACCGACAGCCAAACGAGTGCTTTATAAAGCACCTCGGATGTGTGTGGACTCCAAGGAGCTAATCTGACACAGGTCTGTGGAGCGCCACGGCTGATGTTTCACCGGAGCTTCTCAGGGGGAGAAGGTGCTGCCCGGCGAGACTTTTACCAGCACATCTCCCCTACTGTGCGATTTGTGTTTTCACAAGCAGAAAAGAAAACAACGGAGAAGCCATGCCGATGACCTGTGAGCGTTCAGACCCTGCTGCACCAGGCAGGGTGGCTCCGGGCCGGTCCTCGCCTGGGCGGTGACACCGGGAGGGCAGAGCCGTCCCCTGTGAGCTCCCAGAGGAGGTGGCCACGAAAGAGCTGGCCGCCACTCTGTGCTGCCGTCCGAGAGCCATGCTGGCTCTCCCGGAGCCGCAGCGCCTCTCCTCAGCACCCGGCTCCCGAGGCCAAGCTCAGGGACAGAGAAACGCTGTCCGGCCCCGTGGCGGCTCAAGGTGTGGCGCGCCCATGAGACGCGGAGCCCGGCGTGGGCAACCTCTGCAGGGGCGTGTGTGCGAGCGAGGTCGGACGCGCGTCCATCCCAGCAGGCCGCACGCTGCGCTGACTCCCGCCTGCCTTCTCTCAGCCTCCAGCCATGAGGCTTCGTGCTTCTCCCAGGGTTGCCTCTGCCCGCCCCTCTCCTCGCCCTGCTCTCGCCCTGCGCTCACCCAGACAGCGTAGCCCGTCTCCGCGGTACCCGGCCGAGCACCTGCACACGTAGCCGCCTTCCGTGTTGATGCACTCGGAGGAGGGGGAAGGGCAGGCGGTGCTGTCCGCCGCACATTCGTCTACATCTGTGGGCAAAACAAGGATCTGGTGAGATATTCAGGCAACACTGCTGTAAATGGGAATAGCAGGAAAGAATATGCATGATCTTATATTAAGCTCTCAGCTGCTGCCCGGTACTGTTTGCAAATATACTGCAAAGGCTTTTCTTGGTTGTGCAGTTCATTTCTGGACTAATTTTTGTACAGTTCCCACGTGCTTGAATACCTATGTCTTAAGTAACTATTTGGTGTTTTGAAACAGTTCTCACTTCTCTGACTAGCTAAGAAAATCACGTTGTGCCAGAGTTTAAGACCCTAAGGACTTTTCTAGGACAGGCATGTTGGAGCACACCTGGAATCCCCAGCACTGCGGGAAGCTGAAGCAGGAGGATCACAACTTCGAACCTACCAATCACTCATTTATAATTTTGAGGGTATCAAAATAAAACAGAAACCTATCTACCACAATCCAATTATCTGAATAAAACTTAGGCACTAATTCTCAGGGGAAAATGTTCTGTTTCCATCGGAACTGGTGAACACACAAATTTTACCTGACTCCAAGTCACGCTCCTAATTATAAATTATTTCTTTTAGCGCTAACTGCACAACTTTAATATAAACTCTATGTGTTAATATATGTAAATATACCCCTTACATTTTCTATGCATGTCGTCCATTATTATTACTTAGCAAACATCAAGTAATTTCCTTAAACCTACTGGTTATATAAACCTTTCTGGAGCTTTTGCTCAGCTAAGAGCAAAAAGCCTGTTTCTGGTCTGCAGCTTTCAAATATGCGCGTGGCTTTACTCTTACCCGAGCATAGTTCTCCATCCCCAGCGAACCCCTCCGAACACCGGCAGGTGGCGCCGTCGCCCTCCGGAGTGCACTGAGCGTGCACGGCACACGCCACAGGGGAACAGTCATCCTCATCTGCAAAGCAAGAGGCCGCACGCAGTGCTGCCCGCCCTCAGATGTGGATGGCGGCAGTCTTGGCCCGGGAAGCCCTCCCAGGAGACGCGCTGTACCCTGGATCCACAGCAAAGGCCCCACGGGCTGTGATTCTCTTTCCACACTCTCAGCAAACTTCAGGCTCCACTGTTTGGTGTTCAGAGAGCCTGCGCAAACTGGTGTCTAAACTACAAAACTGCTGGAAATAAATCAGCTCATGTTTCAGAAGGTGCATCGCATATTTAACATTCCCCAACTGTGGTGACCTAGGAAAGGAGTGAGTGGATCACTGCTTCTCGCCTTTTGGCTGAGATCAAGTGGAAGGAGTGGTTCTTCTCCTCCCCAGGGACACACAGACGTGGGGCAGGTAGGTCTTCCCCACCATGCAGAGCCTGAGTCACAGAGGGCTTTACTGTCTGTTCACTGATAGGCCTCAGGGGCGATGACTGTGTGTCACAAGGTGTGGTTTTACATCAGGATGCCTGCAGTGACTTGCAAACCTCGGCACTTTACAGAGTTGCCAACCATACAAATTAAACGCTGTTAACGGCTCACTGCATTTCACCCTCCACTGAAATGCGAACGCCCCAGGGCCCAGAGTTACATGTTGAACCATAAACACGTGCAAGCTCTTCTCTGCCTTTTGCCCTTTCCCCTTCAACTACTTAGGGATAGAATCATTCACCAAATGCCACCTACCACCTGCTTTTTGGAGATGAAGGAGCTGACTCGCACAGGAGGACATAGACAACCTACTCCCGGGTGAGTCTACATCTGCGTGTAGAAGGCATGAAAGAGGCTCCGCCAATGGGCCACAACCGCAGACAGCTCAATGGTCTGCACAGGACTGGCTGCCGTGTGGTCGCAGCCCTGGTAACTGCACTGGATTTGCTTAGCCAGTGAGCAGGACGCCTTCCTGTGGGAACACCCGCCTTTCGTGCTGGCTTGGCCACCTCCTGTCCCTCAGGACTCTTGGCAGGCGGAGTTCAGGAGCACGAATTACCTGCTGGATTCATACTGATCTGGAAGACTGGATGCCAAAGCACAAGGCCACTCAGAGCACAGCATGGACAGCAATCACTCACGGCGTTTTAAACCCCATGTAGAATCAGCCTGGCTTAGAGTGTGGCTCAGGACTTGCTGGGTAACTTGCAGTCCTCGAGTCAGCCTGGCATGATGGAAGGCAGTGGACGTGCAGCAGCAGGTCAGATGAGCAAGAGGCAAGATCTCTGGCACAGCCAGCCTGGAGCAATAGGAGGCCTGCACGCGCTCCTCCCTCAACCTCAGGGCAGCCTCCGCGTGCTCCCTTTCCCGTGGTTATTACAAGGCTCAGAAGGAAAACTGATCCAAAAGATCTCAGAGGGTTCAGGAGCACTGTGCATACTGAATAAAGATGGTAAAGGGAATCATGACAACTAAGAGCTAGCTTCACTGGGGCTGGGGATGCGGCTCAGCGGTAGAGCAGTCGCATAGCATATGTGAGGCTCTGGGCTTGTGTCTTCACGCTGGAAAGAAAAGCAGGAAAGAGGAAGGAAGGAAAAAGAAGAAAAGCTGGCCTCTCATACAAGAAGAGGCTCCAGGGGCTGTTACTAAAAATACAATTCACCCATGAGTACAGATGATGCCCCAGGCCTCGCAGAGGACCAAAACCAGAGCGATGCCGACACCGAGGGGGCTCTGCCGTCTGGGTAATTTCGGGGTGTAAGTGTGGGGAGTGGACAGGGCCCCAGGCTGGGCTTTTCGGGATGTAACGGGAGTGCGCTCAGCCGGGTCCCGGGAAGGCTCCGAGCAGGAGTGCCTGAAGCAGGCGGTGTACAGAGGACCTGGAGGGCTCCAAGAAACAGCCCACGTGTGGTGCAGGCGAGCCCTGTATACCTGCAGCGCCTGCAGAAAACCAAGCACCACAGGCCCCGTGGGCCCTGGGGAGGCCCGAGAGGCGAAGCCAAACAGGGCAAAGAGGCCAGAGTAAGAATTTTAGATTTTGTTCTAAAATCCCAATGTGGCTTTTTCTTTCTTTTTTTTTTTTTTCCAATTTGGATTTTTCAAACTTTGTTTTAGTCATACTTTGCTGACATAAAATCTCACTCTGAAACGTGAACAAGATCCACTAACCTAACCTGGGTGGACACTTCACAGGCGAGGGCCGAACCGAGCTGAGCCCAGGTTTGCAAAGATAGGCATGCCTCGCTGCCAAAAGCACTGGCTCCTCTCCCTCCCTGGCCGGGCTCTCCAAGGAGGCCCAGAGGGCTGCTCTATCTGGGCTGGCAGAGCCCTGGCAGCCTCACCACCCCCTCCACCACGTATGCTTCATTTGCCCTCTGTCACTCACCTTAGTCCCTGAGTCCTTCGACTGTTAGTCTTCCCAAATACGCTCTATTCACCTTCGGGGTCACTGGTGATCCTCTACCCTTCTGCTACTGAGTGATGTCATTCTGGTTTATCACACTGCTCAGCCCTGCCCCATATCAAGCTGTATTCAGCCCCTCTTATCCCCAGCCCTCAGCACAGTGTATGCCCAATAAACTTCTAATGAGTAATTTTCCTAAAGTCACGAAGTTTCCCAGTACTTTTTGTTTTAGCATGAATTAATTATGTGGTTATAATTTTCAAAAACCTTTGGTCGAGTCACTAATTGGCAAAACTCAGCCTTAATTTCTGCATCTGTAAAATGATGAGCTGCAGTAAGGTGGAAATAGAGAACATACTTAAAGTACATGCTTAAGCGCCACACAAAAGTCAGGTATCATCATCATTATTGAAATATGCACCTCTTTCTCTCTTATCAACAATCACCCAGTCATTATACTGTATACCTAAAATGTACCAATGATAAAAATGAATAATTGATAATGCGAAATAGGAAGAAAAGGTCCAAAGGGGTAGGGGAAAGGAAAGAAGGGAAAGGAAAAATTATGAAAAAAGAAAAAAATGGAAACAAAGTCTTTGTAAATAGGGAAGGGTGGAGGGGTGAAGGGAGGACAGGGAATGGGGAAAAAATAAGAACCAAGATTCATCATGTATAGGTACAAGCACCCAGTGATAGATGTAAACATACTATATACCTAAAATGTAGCAATAAAAGAACTTAAGGAAAAAAAATTTAAAAACCCAATCACCCATTAGATGGGTGTGAGGTCCCTACAGCCCTGCACAGCTCAGAGTCATCTGCAAGTCACAGATGTTGGCAAAGCTCCTCCTTAAATGTCCTAATGTGGAAGTTTCAGTTTTTCACAGCTGCAGACATCTTGCTGAAATACAGTGTTACTCGGTAAAATAAACAAACATAAGGTTTAAAAGTCAAGTTAAGCTGCGATGATGGAAGGGCAGGGGAATCCTAGAAGCCCTAGGGCTCAGCTGGAAGGCTCCTGGCCTCCTGAGTGATTACAGAACATAAAGTGTATACATAGAAGCAGCTTCCCTACGGTTGTTACCTACTGCCCAAATTATTTGACCTTTGGGTGGGAAACGCTACAACACAGAAGAGAATTCTAAGCTTTGCTGTCAATGCACTTTCCGTAGCAGTTGAAGAAACCAACCAATATTTGCTCATCAACTGCTGTCCACTTTTCACACTGGCGGAAGCACAGCTAGATGCACACGTACCAATGTACAAGGTGGAGGTAGGGATGCGCTTACATCTGTTCTGCCCTAATTTTCACCTCTGTTTCCAAGTTATATTCCTCAGAGATCGCGCAGCACACAGACCCCCAGATGTGCAGCGCCTGTCCCACCTACCACGGAGGTGGGAAAACCATTCAGAAGAGAAGGACTTGAGTCCCAGATCTGGTTTCACTAGTGCGTGTGATTTAGCCAATAGTAAGAGACAGTCCAGAATGTCACTGGTAGAGCTGGCGGACTGGGGAGCCACTGTCCATACCTGACACCATGATTTCGGCCACTAGCAGGCGCTGAGCTCCTGTGGTGTTGTCTTCTGATGCCTTAGTCCCAGAAAAGTGGTCTGGTGCTGTCCCCTGCCGACTGTGATCAGCGTCACCACCTGTCAGAGGCCAACAGACGCAGCTCTTTGTTGTCGCCAGTGGCAGCTTCCACACTGCTAGGAAGTCGCAGGAAACCACTGCCTGTCCAATTGTGGAACAGAATCCAAAAAGGAAAAGGAAACCCCAAAGAAGGCATTTTGAGTGGCTATGAACCATCCTTTCCCAAGGCCGGCTTAGCTTCGAAGTCTTTAACCAAAACCACGCGTGACAGACTGAACTCAGACCGGCCGTGGCAGTCCAGCTGTCTGCTGTTAAACCAGACCTTACAGGCATCGACGTACCACAGTGCCGCACTTCACACACTCTGTCTGGTTTTGGGAAATATACTTAAGTTATTGTTATAAAAATGTGTTATGCTAATAGATAATGGATTTATTATAGTCTTAAGAAAGATATTTTTAATTTTCATTTTAAGTTTTAATATGATAAATATTAGCAGATATAGTCCAGATAAACAAAGACTCTTTGGGGGATCTCAATAATTTTTTAAGGGTATAAAAGGGGCCTGAGACCAAGAGGTTCGCAACTTTTGTCCTACGGCAAATTATGAAAATCCTAAATACCCAGCTCTGACCCATGGATCGAGCAATCCATTTATTTCTTGCCAGTCTGTCAGCGACCAGGGCTTACAGAGAAATATAAATTTTTTAAATCCTTTTGATACAATTTGAATTCTCTCTTGTATACTTTTGGTAGAAAGATTTCAAAAGGCGGCTCCACACCCACCTAGGCGGTTCAGAAGCGAGGCGCAGGGCACGTCCGGCCACATCACACTGGGTTCCCGCCTCCCTTCTCCCTCAAGTCATATTTGGTTTGTAAAAAAAAAAGGTCGCAGCCTTCTCAGGTTGGATTTCCAAATGTATTTGATATTCTAAGTTTTTTAGGGTAACTTTGCTTTTCCTATTAAGCCCTGTCACGTGGGAGGGAAAGCGTCTATTCCTGCCCCTAAAAATGAAGACCGAAAACTTCCAAATGAAACATCTCTACACAATTCCGTGAGGCAACAAAATCCCAGTGTTTACTGATTTCCAAGCTTGGCCAACTCCGCCATAACGGAGAGGTCGTAGGGATTAGAGCTTTAGACGTTTTCCATTACAAGTCCCTTAACTGAATCTGCAATAAGGAACCCAAAACTCATCAAAAGGAGGGAGACGCCAAACGCATTCTCAGCATTCGTTCCTAGGAGCAGGGCAGCTCTTGGTAGCACAAAGTAGGGCCAGCAGCAGGGCAGGGCACCGGGAAGCACCCTCCTCGGAGGGCACTGTGGGCAGGGCACTCCCTGTATTACCGGCCGAAGGCGGGAGACTCCTCAGAGCCAGGCACGTCCTCCCGTCCAGGGCGCTCCGGAAACCTCTGAGACAGGAACACTGAGCGGTCCCGAACCTCTCCTGGCAGATCTGCTCGCAGGCGCCACCCAGGTGAGAGCAGGGGTCCGCGCCTGGGGGAGGAGAGCGGTTGAGGGTGGCTGACGGGGAGATGAGGGAGACACTGTCCATGCCGATCTCCCCTGTGTGGGGAGGCCCAGCGCCGGCTCGGGCGACCCAGGGCCACTGACCCCAGAGTGCTGAGCGAGGGGGCCGGCACTTGGGCTCACAAAGCCCGCTGAGAGTCACCCCCATTTCCCGACCCATCTGCCAGGCTGCTGCCGAGGTGGGGCCTCCTGCCCTGCTCAGGCCGGCCAGGAGCCCCTGTGGGCAGAAGCTGCCCCCCACCAGCCCCTAAACCGCCTGCCCTTTGGGCCGTGACCCGGGCACTGGAAAGGGAAGTGAAAACCACAGGAAGAGACAAGGTGAGGCCGGCAGTGTGAAGCTCCAAGAACCCGAACGGCAGGCTGGGCTGAAGCCGAAATCACCGAAATGCCAGGCTGTGCCACCTCAAGCAGAGTCCAGGTCTCAGGATCTCAACATCTACGTGGCCAGGAGAATCGCAAGGCCCCTCCGCCCGCCGCCTGCTACTGATTAGAAGCGCTGCGGGTTCCAGCCCAGGGGACGGGACAGCTCCAGTGTACCTGGTTTTGCCAGTGGGTGAACCACAACCAGCGAGGAGGGCTTCAGCACGCTGCCTCGCAGACGTACCCTGTTTTGGCCAGTCCTCTTGTGCACCCTCGTTACCGACGGCGCGGCCCAGTCCGACAGCCACAGGTGGTCCTCGAACACAGCCACGGCAAACGGGTGGCCTGGAAGCGATGTACAGCGCTCGGCACCAGCACCGCTCTCCTGCGGTGCCCAAGGCTGGGCCTACAGGGCTCCACCCCGGCCAGGTCCTCAGCAGGGCTCACGCCGCGTTGGAGAGGCACCCAGCAGAACCCAGGGGCCAGCAGGGCGGGACGGCTGGCTGTTTCATCCTGAGGACCCAGCCCAGGGCCTTTGCTTGATCTTTCTTTGAGACAGAGCCTCAAGTTGCCCAAGCTGGGCTCAAACAGTCCTCCTGCCTCAGCCCTCCCACACTGCTGGGCTCGCAGAAGGAGGAGGCCAAGGTCCAAATGTTTCCTCCGAGGTTATCTGCCACTATTTACACACTTGAGGAAGTTTCGGGTTCTCTGCCTTAGGCTCCTCATCTTGTGAGCAGCTTTGATAAACAGCAGGCAGGGCTCGGCAGCATTTCTAAACCCAGAGGAAACTGAGCGCTTCTCCGGATTCTCACCTCCCTGCACTGAACCCCTGCTCCCCGCCTGCTCCCCGCTGTCCTCTCCCCTCAGGGTGGTCCAGAGATTGCGCCCCTGGGGGCGGCCCCTCCGGCCTCTCCTTCTCCACTCCCTCCCTCCAGTCCTCTCCCCTCCTCTCTCTCTGTCTCTCTCTCTCTCTCTCTCTCTCTGCAGCACCACAGATTAAACCCAGGGCCTGCACACTGAGCTGCATCCCCAGCCATTTTAATTTTTTTTTTTTTCTGAGACAGGGTCTTGCTAACTCACTCAACTGTCTAGGCTGGATTTGAACACGTGATCCATGATCCTCCTGCCTCAGCCTCCCAGAGTGCTGGATGACAGGTGTGCGCCACTATGCCTGGCTTGTCCCGTCTTAATTTCCTCAGCCCCTTGATCCCTCCAGCTTCTCTTTGTTTCTTTTCTTCCCTCCCCTCCTTATTTTTCTTGCAGAACTGGGCACTGAACCCAGGAGGCTCTGAACTAAGCCCCAGGCTTCTCTGTATTTGCAGACAGGATCCTGCTTAATCGCCCAGGCTGACACTGGCTTGTGACTCTCCCGCCTCTGCCTCCCGAGCAGCTGGGATTACAGAAGCGCGCCACAGCGACAGGCTTATTCCTTCCTTTCTTTTTCAAAGCTGTCTGTTGCCCGCTGCCTCCAGCTCACGGCTCCTTGCACTACCGCTCCATGCCCCGAAACTGCTTTGCTCGCTGTCCTCCACGTCAGCGTGCCAAATGTCCTGGCTCACGAGACCGAGCCCAAGCAGGCTGGAGAGCCCTCCCGCCGCCCTCCCCAGGACACTGGCCTCAGGGCCCTGGCTCGGGGGACTCGGGGTGTCTCCCTCTACCATCGGCCAGGCAAGGGGCCAGGCGCTCCCTGAGGGGCGTGACTAACACCGCCTGGCGGGGTCCCACACACAGCCCCACACACTCAACGGGCGCAAATCTTCTGCGGGTCCACTCAGGGTCCCAGCTCGGGGACCTGGTCAGGGCGGCTCAGCTCCAGCCCCGCCTGGGCCGTGGCCCCGCCCTCGGGATCCCTCTCCCCCTGAAGCCATCCCGCCTGGGTGCCCAGTCTGAGAGGAGAGGAGGGACCCAGACAGGGGCTGATCTTTCCACGCGACAGAAACCCGCAGCACAGTCGGCACCCGAACCACTCTTACACGCACTCTGGAACTTTTCACCTTGCAAAACTGAAACTCACACCCATGAAACAGCTCCCGCGTCCTCCTGTCCTGCCCCTGGCAGACACCATTCTGCTGTCTGTGTGAACTGAACTACTTGAGCTACCTCAAATGCGTGCACTTTTAGGGTCTCTTTGTGACTGGCTTACTTCACTTTGGATAATATCCTCAAGGTTCACCCATGTTGAAGCATGAGTTAGAATTAGCTGTAGTGTTCCAATAAATATCCTGCACTAGCCATATTCCTCCTCATTTTTTATTTACCAAAGGGCCACAAATAATTGCATTTTTTTTTGGTACTGGGGATCAAACTCGGGTCCTTGTGCCTGCAAGGCAAGCAGCAGAACCACTGAGCTAAATCCCAGGCCCAATAATTGCATTTCTTACATTAAGAATAAATTCATTCAACTTTTACATGAAAAAATCCTGAACCTACAGTTGAGAAGCCATCATGTCTATACACTCACACCAACAGATGGCACTGTAATTTACACAATTTTAATATAAAATTACTTGACAAAGGTCTTCAACAGCAAGTTGCATTAGTCAGAGATTGCAATAGCATTCAAATGGCTCACAAAATACCTGCTATGCTTTTGGCCCTAGAATATACTTTTACATTCTGTGTAGGAATTTTCAAATACTCTTCTCTCCCCCTATATCAAAGGTACAGTTTTACATTTACCTGGATGGTATTTTTTTTCACAATAATGTGTGTCTCCCTACAAGGTTCTCGGACTTCCCAAAAATCATATTTGTTCTACTCAACATTGTATCCCCACTTCTATAATGAGTTAATGCATGAATAGGTAAAGTCTCCAACCACAAACAAGCTTATCATTACTATGAAGTACAACTTCTAAAGAGCCTTAGAAATATAGGAAATTTACATTATATTGACCTTACCCTATTTAGGGTATCACACAAATCTAGAAATTTATTGCCTCTAAAACTACAGAGAATAGGCAGGAAAAATGTTTACGCATATTACTAGTTTGTTAGCTTCTTCCTAGATAAAGAGACCATGGTTTTCTCATCGTCCCCGTCAGTTTCTAAATCTTGAAAACACCTGACACCTGCTGGACTCTCATCTTCTACAGCCACCGTGGCACCAGGTCTTCTGTCTTTATCACAGTGGTTTGCCCACCCTGACCTCCCATCCCGTCAGGGAGGGTGCCAGCCCAGCCCTTCATAACTCCTGCAGCCTCCAGGCTTCTGTCCATCTGAATCCTGTCCAGCCCAGGTGGCCACACTGAGATGTGCGCCTATCAGCTGCTCACCTGCTCCTGAGTAAATGCAGAGGAAATTCGGTCACCACACCTGGTGGCTCTGACACAAAGGGCAGATTTTCGCTTTTGATCACCACCTGTTTGCCACATGGTCCCTTTCAAAAACTGTCTGCAGGTTCCTTGAATCAAAATAAGTCTCCCACCACTTATACAATTTCAAATCGCTCATACTTCTCTTCTATAAGATATGTATGAAAAGACACAATCCCCTGGCGAAATCTGAAAATATGGTCAGGAAGAAAACTGCTCTGTTGTTGTTGGACCTTCACACTGAGTGATCCCCAGACAGGGTTCGGCCAGCCTTCAGCTTGCCCACGCTGGGCTGCAGCTCTCAGTCCTCCTGACCCCTCCAGAAGTGTGGGATCACAGGTGTGCACCACCACGCCTGGCTGAAAACCCTGGTCATTCGTCTTTGCACGTTATCACTGATGTGCACCGATGCCTGACTGTGATATCACTCTTGTAAAATGACATTTTCTAAAACACAAGACATGAAACCAAACTTTTATCCCTAAACACAGAAGAATTTAACATGTTCTTTCTGATCTACTTTTTACTCAGGATTTGAATGCAAAGGGAATCCCTAAAGCTAGTAATTCCCAGGAGAAATCTGTCTGTCTGCTCCTTTCCCACCACATGGCCAAGAGTGTGTGCGTGTCTGTATGCATCCGTGCATCTCGTACAGGACACGCATCCATACTCAATCGAGATGAAGCCGCCCACCCCAAGGCCTCACCTACATCGTCCTGGGCCAGCCTCTGGCGCCTGGAGCCATCCAGATTGGCCATCTCGACCACAGACAGCTGGGCATCGCACCAGTACAGGGTGTCGGTCAGGAGGTCGATAGTGAGTCCGCTAGGCTCCGCCAGCTCTGAGCTGGCGATAACCCGCCGGTCAGCGCCCTGCAGGGAAGCGCTTTCCACTCGTGGATTCGTCCCCACGTCGGTCCAGAACAATCGCCTTCAATCAAGAAATCACACAATGAATAGAATTGTCCTGAAAAAGTTCTATTCCCTCATCATGGAAACATCGATATAAATCACTTCAGCGTATGCTACAGGGGTACACTAAGGGATTTAAAGGAGAAAATACAACACTGCTTGTTGGACAAATAGTTTTCAAAAGCAAAACAGTTAACTTATCTATGGAAAACATGTTGGACAAGAAATGTTGAATGAAAGCTCAGACCATTAGATTAAAAAAGGAGTTTTTAAAAATGTAGCCTATTACTAGTCAAAAGTGTGCCTAAGTGGATAGTCTTAAACTAGCTGCAAATGCAATGACTCCTGCGAGACTGTCCTGGTATGGGCGGCTAAAACCACAATATACATGGAAGAGCACACTTGTTAGCTAGTTTTGTACAATGCACTGAATTTCCTCAGCTAATTTTAAGTTCCATAAACCAGGTGTGGGGAATATTTTTTGAAGTCACTGTGGCTGAACATTTTATAGGTCTGTTAAAGAATGCTTATATTCTGTTTTTATCATTTGGTGGCTTGAAATCAATAATCAATTACTACCAATATATTAGCTCCCATAGACTACTGGGAAATTTCCATCAAAAATAAAGCAGAGTTGGTTTTTGTTTTTGCTTAACAACTAGAAAGGAATTCTTTATCCTCCTTAATTCTCTAGCCCCTAGAGCAAAATGTGATATGAATTCATAATCAACACCAAGGCATCTTTTGATCATTCAGATTTCCTCTTGTCTAAATCTAGGAATAACGAGTCACTTGAAGTCATCCGGTGATTTTTCTAAGTAGAATTCCTAAGTCAAATGATCCAAATATTTTTTTCTGCTCAATAAACGACACCTGCTTTTTTAAGCAAGTAGATTCATGTGCTTAAATCTAACCGGTTAATGGTTTACAGCCCATTTCTTTTAAAAAAAAGAAACTGAATTTGCTTAAAATAAAAGCCATGTCAACAAAATTATTATACAAGAACAGAAAATCAAAAGTTTACATTTACAAAAATGAGGAATGCATGCTACCACTACCTTCAGAATGCACATTCTGAAGATCTGAACAGATCTCCTGGGTTTTCTTTGCTTTGGTCCCGCTGACCAGCATCTCAAACATGAACTGTCACAGGGCCTCTGCAGAAAAGGGCCTTATTTTCTCAAATACCTACTTGGCCATGGGATGAACAGCAATTCCTCGTGGCTGAGAGATATTTTCCTTAATGATTATTTCTCGATGTTTTCCATTTACATCACTCCCTTCAATGACAGATTTCCTAAAATGAATTTAAATGAGAGGTTTACCAATATTACTTTTCAGAGAAAAATACTGCTTTTCTGTTCCTGATATGCAAAGGTAAGCATGCTAAACTTCTCACCCCCAACACATACACACAGTCAGCACTGACAAGCCCACACATTCCATTGTTTTAAAACACTCTTTATTAGCATTTAAATATTTATGCGAAGCAATTAAAGTACATGGTTACGAGATAAAGTAACAGGGCACTGTGTTGATGGCCTGGGAGGGTCAAAGCCAGGATAATAGATGCCCCCATCTGTTTCTATGCACAACCCCCAATCTCCTGCTGAAACCCATGGAAGCTAGGGCCTGGGAGGAGTCAGGCTTCTCAGTCTGCAGTAATGAGGAGGAGGGAGAAGATTTTTGTTGGCTCCAATTTTCTTCCATATGATTCCAAGACACATGGGAGTATAGCAGCCACTCCTTATCCATGGTTTCACTTCCCATGGTTTCAGTTATCCTTGGATGTGGAAATATAAGCGGAAAATTCTAGTGGTAAACAATTCATTAGTTTTAAATTGTGTACTGTTCTTTGTAGTGTGATAAAATCTTGTACCTTTCTTGAGGTTCCCACTCTGTTCTGCCTCAGACGAGAATCATCCCTTGGCCTGGGGTATCCACACAGTATACACTACCCTCCCAGTAATCACTTAGTACTAAGCCATCTTAGTCATCAGATTGACTGTCTCAGTATAGATATCACAGTCCTTATGTTCTAGTAACCCTAAGTTTACTTATAATAATGGCCTCAAACTCAAGAGTAGAGAAGGGGGCAATTTAAATAAGCCAAAGAGAAGCCATAAACCCCTTGAAAAGGTGAAGGTACAAAGTTGTCACAACCGTTTCATTTCATTATTTGTTATGGTTGATTTCTTATTGTGCCTAATTTGTAAAGTAAACTTCATTATATCTAGGAATCAGTACAATCCTTGGTTTTCCACATCCACTGGGGATCCTGGAAATATCCCCTGTGGCTAGGGGGAGACTACTGTACTAAAATGCTATTTACAAATATTTTCATTAAAAATAACTTTTGGGTATCTTTGACAGGGTAGATAAGTCTTACTTTCCAGTTTTTCTATGTATCTGTCAAACAAATCTTTATTATCAAGCAAATATTTACTGAGCAACTACAGGGTGCCAGGGATTGGCCTCAGCATTAGAGACACAATAGGACATAAACCTCATCTCTGTCCTTATACAGCTCATAGCTCAACAGGAACAGAGGGAGGAGGAGGAGGGGAGGAGGCAGGAGAGGGGAGGACGGGATTATCTCCGAGCACATGCGGATGAGCACCAAGAACAAGGGTGTATCAAGTGCAAGTGGCAACTCCAGGAGGGCAAAGAGTGGATAACAAGCTGGGCAGGTAAGAGGAGGAGTCCTGGAAGTAATGAGGAGCAGAATGAGACAGTGGGCAGGCAGGCGAGACAGGGAGGGACAGGGTACCGAAGGGGAGGAACGTGCAAGTCCAGAGTCCCAGGATCCGGAAAATGTGGGGCGGTTGGCAGTCGCCACATTCAGAAAGCTGTGTGTGACTGCAAGGCAGAGAGCAAGGCAGGAAGAGGCAATGGCGGTGAGACCAAGCACTGGCCGCGGGGATGGAAAGGCTGACGGGTTCAGGCGCTAAATGATAGGGCCGCAGCCCTGCCCTGCAGCAGCTAACGGGGGCTTCTGGGCAGCTCCCGGGGGCAGGGTCACAGGCCAGCCACTCGTCTCATTTCTCCAGACCAAAGTGGACGTCGTAACGACCTTGCATCCATTCAGGAAGCATCTGTCGAAGTCCAGCCACCACTGCCTCACAGGCAATGTGGGCGTGGGACAGCCCTGCCCTGGAGTGCAGAGCACGGCTGTAATCAGCTCCCGTCCAAACTGTGCAGGAGACTCCGACTCTGTGGGGCTCTCCAAGTCTCTAGTGCCCTCGGGAAGGGCTTGGCCACGTCCCCAAAAGGTAGGTGCAGGAGGCAGAGGAAGGGACACCTAGCTCAGGACCTGCACTGGTCAGGGCCACTCTGCAGACTGCCCTTGGGGCAGGGGCTAATCTGAAACCACATAAACTCCAGTGCCAGTTTTGAAAGATCATGTTGTTCCACTTCCAATGGTCACAGTGAGGGAGGACAGAAGAAATGAAGACAGGCAAAAAGCAGACAAGGGGAACTGTACTTAAAACATTTGCAGCTTACAATATTTTTCCCTTCCACACTACTCACTCTTAAATTGTTTTTTGGGGTTTTTATGTTTTGTTTTGTTTTTTTTGGGGGGGGGGTTGGTACCGGGGATCGAACTCGGGTCCTTGCGCTTGCGCAGCAGGCAGCAAAACCGCTGAGCTAAATCCCCGGCCCTCTCACTCTTAAATTGTTAAAGCACATGTCTTTCTCCCATAGAGTGGACCCTTGGCCTGCAAAGAGGCTCTTGTTATAGATGCACAAATCCCACGGATCTCCTCTGAGACCACTTGAAAGCTGCCAGCCCCAGACCACCCTCCTCTGTCACAGACCCACACATTCTCTGAGTGCGGATTTCCTTAATTCTGCCTATGAAGCATTCTGTGCCTCTCAGTCATACCCTGCCATTCCATTCTGTGATGTAAGGCAGCGAACCCACGACCTACCTCCTGGGCGAGGCAAGGCGAGGTCCCCACCCCTTTGGGGACCTTCTCAGGCCCACCTTGTAACAGTGGGGAGGGCTCTGCTGGGTGCAAGATATTTCTGAGCTCAATGTGTCAAATTCAGTCCTCAGGCAGAAGGTCACCGTGTGCCCTTCCTCCCTGGGTGGGAGAGAAGAGTGTGGGCCATAGAATGGCCAGTCCAAGTCTCATCGCTCCAGCCTCTGTAAACTCTGCTTGGAGCAGCCATCAGTATGAGAACTGAGGCCCAAAGTGCCCGCCTAATGCACTTTTATGTGGCTCAGCCAGAAAGCCAACTGCAGATGCCAGGGTAGCGACCGAGTAAGCAAAGACCGTGGGATGCATGAGTTCACCTCAAGCTAGAGGAGCACCCTGTCTTTGCTTTGTAGAATGGATCTGCCAGAGGAAAACCCACCCTGCTTCCAGGTAAGAAATATCCATGGAAGAGCAGTTTCCACCTTACGGTTCTTTTATCCAAACAGCTATCTTATAGTCCTACCTCTTGGCTCTTTTTTTCTTTTCCTTATCCTTTGTCTCTTTTTTTTTTTGCTTAAATTCTTTTATTGGTGCATTTTAGGTATACAATACGTTCATATTTATCATTGGTGCTTGTACCTGCACATGATGTATCTTGGTTCTTATTTTTTCCCCATTCCCTGTGCCCTTCACCCCTCCATCCTTCCCTATTTACATAGACTTTGTTTCCATTTTTTTTCTTCTCATCATTTTTCCTTTCCCCTTTTTCCTTTCCCCTTCTCCTCCCACCACCCCTATGCCTTTGGACCTCTTCTTCCTTTTTCAAATTATCAATTATTCATTTTAATCCTTATTTACACTTTCAGTTTCTCACACTAGAGAAACTATTTAGTATTTACACATGTGTGTCCTATTTATTTCACTTAAGAGACTCACCTCCATGTGCATCCATTTAGCTATAAATGTCTCTAATTTCTCATTTTTTATGGCTGAGTAGTACTCCATTTTATTATAAAAAAAAACACATCTTTTTTATCCAGTCTCCAGTTGATGGGCACTTGGGCTATTTCCAAGCTTTTGCTATGACAAACTGTGCCACTGTAAACATGGGTGCACATATATCTCTGTGGTATGATGTTTTTAATCCCTTTGGGAAGATCCCCAGCAGGGGAATAGCTGGGTTGAATGGGACTTCCAGCCCTAATTCTTTGAGGTATCTCCATACCAATTTCCACAGTGGTTGCACCAGTCTGCACTCCCACCAACAATGGTCTTGGTTCTGTTTTATAGGGCAGTTGGCTTTAGGAATCAGGATTCTTTCACACTAGATAACGGCACTGCCAGTGGACTCATCAAATAGCCTCATTCCTCGGTGCTGGATGCCCATTTGAATCTGTCTTTTCCTGGGCCAGCACAGAGGGCAACCTCCCCTCTGCTTCTTAACTTACCACATCATCTAGTATCACAAGATTGGAATCTCGGTCCTTTAAGTCCAACTTCCAGCTAGTATCAAGGTTTTCAAACTGTTACTACTGACGTCCATGTGCTAGGGAATTTGAGTCTGATCCTTCAGGACGCTGGGTGCTTGTCTATGTCCCGAGGCACAGCCTCCACAGGTACCACGGCGCTCTTCGTCAAACAGAGGGAAACACAAGAAGACCCAGCATCCTTGGGGACATCTCTGTTGTCCTGATCGCTGCTTACAATTCTGAGAACAACCGTGTACGACTGTCATCGTGCACAGCCCATGTTTAAACTGCCCTTTTGGTCAGCTCAACACAGAGAAAGCCATTATTATGACTTACTAATTATTACAACTGAAGTTCACTTCAATGTTATGCAACTCTGGGTCAAGCACATTTTAAATCAGCCCTGATGCAGGGCAGTGCATCTCCACGGTTACAACGTGGCACTGGGATCCAACCCAGGGCCAGCTGCTAAGCCCCCTACGAGGAGCTGCAGTGTGCCCAGCCCATCCCCGTAATTACAAAAAGCTTGGGGCCAGAAATGGTCCTCCTTGGGCTCCAGCCCCAGGTCCACTACTTACAGACTGCTTGAGCTTGGGAAAGTTATGTAACCTCTTTCAAGTTTTTAAATCTTTCAATTAGAGAAAAGAAAACCTACTTCTCTGGGATTCAATGCTACAGACTTAAAACACTTACAGCAGTATCTGGTGCATTACGGGTATTCAATAAATACCCAAATAATAAAGAAATGAGGAAAAATTAAATGAAAAAATGAATGAGTGAAGGCATAACTGGACACAGAGGCCCATTTCATCGACAGGTGCCGCCGCACCATGACATCTGGCTCCCACTGGTGATCCGAGCAGGAGAGCTTCCGGGACACAGAAACGCTGCACTCAAGCAGCTAAACCGAGGCCCTGGGAACTTTCTCTCCGCACTGGACCTGCTGTTTTCGGGGCCAAACCCTATTGATTCTGTCTTCTTCCACACAGCTGCGGAGGCTCCCGATGTCCCAGATGGTCACCATTTCACGGTCTGGCCTTCAGCGACTCTGAGAGGTTTCCTGAATACGCAGCCTCCCTCGAGCTCTCCTGTGAGGGGTCCTGGGGTGCAGTTTTGCAGCAGAAGCAAGGAAGCGGGTCCTTCAGCAGCACGGGCCCTGCCACCACATCCCAAACCTCACCCTGGCCCTCCAGCTCCTGGGCCGCGGCCTGCAGGCCGAGTGCCGGGACAGAACACCTGACTCCACCCTGGTTCTGATTCCCACCGAAGGGCAAGCAGGCCGCCCCACCAGCACTCCTCCCCAGCCCGCGTCCTCTCCCCTGCACACTGGCTCAGCAGTTCCAATGGGTCCCCTGCAGGCTGCCACCTGGAATCACTCCCGCAGCCTGTCTGAGCCTCATATTCTTCCCCCGGAAAATGAAGGGGCTGGGCTGGCTGACCCCTGAAACCCCCCAGCCATCCCTGTGGCCAGAAACACCCAAAGCCAGAGCGTGCGCAACCTTTGATGCACAGCCTTACGACGCTCTTGGTGCTGCTCTTGGGACTGCGCCTGTGCACTGGTTCTTCGCTGGGGAAACTGCCTCATCCCTGCAGCCACGCCAGGACGGGGCTTGCCCAGGCCCTCTGTACCCGTGTTACCTGAGGGTAGCTTTCCCCATGGCAGATGCTCAGTGAATGCTGACCGGATGCCTGCAGACAGGTTTTGGGTTTCTCTGGCAACAGCAGCCTAACCTATACAAGTACACCCTACTCTCTTGGTTCTGGAAACTGTCCCACAGATATAGATCCAATCTTGATGAAAACAATGTCTCACTTGGCGGTGTGGAGGAGTAAGCAAAGTGCAGCAGCAACAGCGCCTCTCTCATCCAAGCCTAGCCAAGCAGTCAGCATAATTCTGTGTTCAAACAGCAATGAAGCCAGGGACATTGCCTGTTCATCACTGCCAGCCCCTGCAGCTTCAGACTGGGAGGAGAACCTACCCTCTGTCTGTCCAGTAGAGTCTACGGCCAATCCAGTCCACAGCAAGACCTTCTGGTGCATCCACTGCTTCCTCAATGAGCCTTTCTCTCTGGGACCCGTCCATGTTAGCCCTCTCTATCCACTTCAGGGCTGTGTGGGCAAAATATATCTACAAAGGGGAAGACAGACATTTCCGACTGGCTCACAAAAGTGAAATGAATATACACGAAGGGGAGCAGGAAGTCTTCAGGTCCCCGGTGTAGCTGCTAAGGGCTTGGGCTCAGAGACGCGAGTCTTCAATTAGGCCCTGACCGCGCTGCTTCCAGATGAGTGTGACCTTAAGCAAGTGGCTCGCCGTCTCAGCCTCTTAGTTTTCTCATTGGTAGAAATGAAGATGATACATCAGGTTCTCTCTGTATGTATTTCTATAATGGGTATATATGGACATACGGATATGCATGTGGAGATATATGTCCATACTCCCTGGCTCATACCCCTACTGGTTGGTCATTTATTCATCTCTGATCATAGGTCAATGACATAGACTTTGTATTTGAACTGCAATGGCTTCCACAGTTAAATGGGATAAATTATTTGCAATAAGAGCTGCACCTCGGGCTGTGTCCTCCACTGCTCAGCCCATGAATACACCACTGCAGAGTAAGGCAGGAGGCATGAGCTCCTCTCCCAGTTTTACTCCTTATTTGCTTAAGTCTTGGCCAAGTCACTTAGCCTCCATTTTTCCAACTACAAAAACGAAGTTAGCAGGCTTTCTGATGCGAGGATTTCAGGATAGTGTTAAAAAATATGGAGTCAGCTGACAATTTAATGATAACATTTGTGGCACCTTAACTGTGAGTGCATAAACGTACATACAAGGGGTGATCAAAAAGTACAGTGGGTGATTAAATTTTAGAAATTTAATTTAAAAAACACATTGCCATGGATCGTCCTCAAAATATTCCCCCTCACTTTGAACATACCTATCCTGCAGTTCTTGCCGCTTTCTGAAGCAGCTCTGCAAGTCCTCTTTTGTGAGTGTCTTTATAAAGTGTGACCAAAAATACAGTGAATGCTGTCGCCGAGTGTCATCCAACAAAAAGGCAGATTGTAAAAACATGGCACTGTGTCCTCATGTACCGTATTCACAGATCTGGCACTGTGCAACTTCTAGCTCTTCCCAAAGTTAAAATGACCATGCAAGGTAAAGGTTTTGAATTGATTTGGGACACTGAAGCAGCCAGGACAGTGCAACTAAAGACCCCCACAAAAGAGGACTCCAGAGCTGCTTCAGAAAGTGGCAGGAAGGATGGGATGAGTGTGTCCAAAGTGAGGGGGGGGAATATTCTGAAGGGAATTAATAGCAATGTGTCTTTTACTGTAGTAATTTTTTAAAAATTTAAACACACACTGTATTCTTTAATCATACTGCCTCATAACCCTGTAATTGATGATGAGAGTATTCCTAAAATGGTAGCTTATTAAATAATGGGTTCTCTCTGGATAAAGAGAAAAGCTGTATTTCATAAATACAAACATGGGTACTTCTCTTGGGAGAAAACTCTCCACTAGGCCGCGCTTCTGGAACCCCAACGCACATGGGACCTCCAAAGATGCAGGTTGCTGCAGAGGCTGGGGTGACCTGGGATCGGCAGTGGGACAGCGCAGGGCTGAGCTGTGGCTGTGGGCCAGGGCCACAGTGTGGCCACAAGCAAGGGAGAACGTCAGTCAGAGAAGTGCGGAGCAGCCGCCCGGCCCAGAGCTGACCCAGGTCTCCCTTTCACTAGTGTGAAAATACTGACTGCACAGGAAAAAAACCAAGTCCTAGCAGCAAATGAATCTTACTTGGTCACTGTTAATGTAGCTGTTCTATGGAGCCACACAGACGCAGTTCAGAGAAGAGAGAACTGTTGCTCGTGTTCAGCTATGAATCTTTTATTTGCAAGAATAATTATGCGTAGCTATGATTCCATAGCTGTTAAACACAATTAACTAGCTTCACTCTGTCTCTTTTGGCCACTTACCAGACTGCTTTATTCAGAAAAAACAAAAACACCAAGTTTAAAATTCTACACAATAATGAACAACCTGGAGCAACTAAATAATTATGGAAGGGGACTTATAACTATGTAAATTATTGTCACAGGCGATTAATCTCTAAAAGAAATTCTAACGTCATTCTTATTGCTTTCACCTAGCACAAATACAACTACGAAATGAAACACCAACTGGCCAGCTGATTAGGTTGGTCATACAGAAATTCTAAGTTAGGGTTTAAAACATCACATAAAATTATTCTGTAGAAAATATTACGCCTTAGACAGCCACTCCCAGATGAATCATGAAAACTATATTTCCTGATTTTCCTGGTTAAGAGGTCCTGGAGTCCCCTCTCTCAATGACGTAAATTAAAAGCAAATGACTAATCCACACTTCATATGCCTCTCAGTCCTCCGTTCCTAGCAAGTGGTCAAAAGCCCACTTGCGATGTTCCATCCACACACATGACATCCTGCGGGCCTCCCATTCCCACCACCAACGAGGAAATTAAACTGAGGCCCTCCAGAGCCATCCCAATAAAAAGAACCACAGGACCAGGGTGGGGTTACAAGGCAGGAAAGGCCTTGAAATGCTTCCAACCATGCTCCAGGGCCTATGTTTACCTCCTTCTGGGTCAGCAGAGGATTTTCAAGCCGCGAAGGTGGCCTGTTGGGATGAAGCCCTCTGTTCAGTCCTCACAGCACACCCGAGCCCTTCAGGCCACAGAGCCTTACCTTATTCTCCACCGGGTCGTGATCCAGTGCAAGAACCGTTCCCATCTGCTGGCTGAGCAGGATTTCATAGTCTGTCCCGTCAAAGTGCATGCGTCGGATGTCTCGAGAGTTGGCAAAGAGCAAAAGTGGCTGTGGTCCTATAACCAAATTTCAAAGATGGCAGTGCTTAAAATTCACCTTAGAACCTGAGAAACACTTCTGAGCCTTGCCCTTCTTATTTCTGCAGCACTAGTTTTCTCGATGTCTCCCCAGTGTAGTGTGGCCAAAGACAGGCAAGAAGACTTCTTCGATGAGGTGACTGACACATGGCCAGAAGCTCAGCACTGGTCCATCTCACTCTAGGCACCCGCTCTCAAAATACAAATCACCACACAGATGGCTACATCAAATCGTCAAAATCGAAGCCAGATGATGCAGGTCTTAAGGCTATGGTCTCCTGGTTCATACGTACTGAACTCAGGTCTGATAAACAACCTCTGAACTTGGGGTTTCGGAGAGGGAGGCACGATTATGTGAATTTATAGTAGGACCCCTGGCCACCTTCAGGGCCCAGACTACGCTACACCAAGTAGGCCTTCAAAAATGAGTACTGGGCTCTAAGGAAAGCTACGCATGATAATCATGTGGTCCCAGTTTCTCAGCATAATGAACCTTCAAGAGAGATTAAATCATTTGGTATAAATCTAAGATTTCCAGAGCTATTAAGGAACACAGAGATAATATGAGATGGTGAAAAAAAACAGCCAAAGCATACAACTTCATATTAAATTTTGACATGAAAAGGACAGAACTTGTCGAAGTATTACACTCACTGAAGAGATAAAAATCAAGTCAATCAACATTTATTTATTAAATACCTCTTAACTATACTTTGTTTGGGTTTTTTGTTTTTTTTTTCTTTTTGGTTTTTTTGAGACAGGGTCTCGCTATGTGGTTCAGGCTGGCTTGAACTCACCTCCTGTCTCAGCCTCCCGAGTGTTGGAATTACAGGTATGCACCACCACACCTGGTTCTTAACTATAGTTTGAGACTATTCTGGCCTTACCTTTCTCATCTACTGAAAATGCCAGACTTGACATTATGGCAAACCTTTTGAGGATGCCAGTTAACTTAGAAACATTCCTCAAACACACTGCTGTCATAAAAATTATTGCTGTTGTAAATACTCATATTATTCATATTCACTTGGCTTATTTCCCATTTCTGAAAATTAAAAAAAATCAGACTTTCTACCGAGCAGAAGCAATTCAATTTGCCATCATTCTAAATGAAATGTCATTTTCATGTGGGTTTTTTCTTCAGAGAAACATTCCAGGCCACCGCAGCACTGACCTGAAGCCACACAACTCTTCTGGTCCAGTTGCAGGTCGTACCCAGGAAAGCAACCACACTCCCAGGACACCGGGCCGAGGGGAATGCAGAGCTGGCTACAGCCACCGTTACCAGGTGACGAGCAGCCTAGGAAAAGCAGATGCTTGGTAAGGATGCTCTGTCATTCAAAATGTAACAATTTCCCATGGAAGTATTATGATGGACCAACTTCCTGTTCAATTTTAAAACCATCACATGATCATTCTTACTGCGCATTCGAGTTGATTTTTCAGAGATTAGAGCCAAATGTCACAGTGCTCCCTTCCCTGTAAACCAAAATCTTGGATGTTGATCTTTTCATCGAACTGAGCTCAAGAGCAAGCACCCCGGCAGCTGGATGGAGAAATACATTTTTTTTTTTGAACTGGGGACCGAACTCAGGACCTTGCAGGTGTGAGGCAGGCACAATGCCACTGAGCTAAATACCTGGCCCAAGAAATACATTTTGATGAGTCTGGAGCCATGCTAGCTCTTCCTCATGAGTGGTGTAATTTTTCTCTCTCACATTTAACAGCCTCTTGACTTCTTTGTTCATCTTCTTTTTAAAGATCTTAATTGGCTTTATTTCGATTCTAGATTTGGGCAACACTTCACCCCATAAAGTAAAGTAAGTCCTCCCCTTTTTTTCACTCTTTTAAAAATCAGAAAATCAAAAAGCCACCGAAATTTCTTCTGCTAATTTTGAGTTACATCCAGACTTACACATGCTCCAGTCCCCATGAAGACAAAGCAGGTATTTATGGGGTGCAACAGGCGAAGCCCTCTGCACCTGCCATCGGGTTCAATCCAAGCAGAAGGGCCAATACAGACGGGGAACAGACCAAGGCAGGTCCAGTAACCAGCCCAAATGTCTCTGCTAATAACCGGTAATGCCACTCCGAGGCTGTCTAACTCCAAAGCCCTTGCTCAAAACCACTTCACTAGGCTTTCCTAAAACAGAAGCTCAACTTAAACCTGTCTGTTCATCTACTGAATACATTACCTTTTCACGTGTAATACTAGAAACCACCCTCCTCTGGCAAGAAGATCAACTTTTAGGTGTCACTTGGAAAATGTGCATTTTCAAACCAACACAGGGCAAATAAACTCACCGCTACACGTCTTTCCGTCTGCCTCCAGCACGGAACCTTCAGGACAGAAACAATGGGGGCCCTCCAATGTTAGGACACAGTCGTGGCTGCATTCGGATGCACTGCCCGGACAGGAAGCTAATTCTGATTAGTGAAGGACAAAGTCGAGATTCACGTTAGATCAGGCTGGTGGAAATGTACCACAATCAGCTCCTAATAAAACCCTGAAAAGAGGAGGTTAAATAAAGACCAAATACTTACAAACAGCTATGGTAATACAGATAAAAAAGTGAAGAAAAATTCAAATCTAAAAATGTTAAAGAGCCCTGATTTTGAAAATGTCTCTAGTTTCTTCCAAGTTTCCTTTATTTCAAATAAAATTTTTAGTTATTAGTCATCAAAATTCCAAAATATTTTCAATGGAACTTAAGCAAATGATTAAGTTAATGTATAGAACAAAACACATCTGTTAAAAAAAAAAAAAAAAAGTAAGGGCCTGGGAATTTAGCTCAGTGGTTCTGCCGCCTGCCTTGCAAGTGGAAGGTCCTGAGTTCGATCCCCGGTACCAAAAAAAAAATAAAGACATTCTGTATTTGTGGTTAGATGTAAGAAGAGGAAAGAGAGGTCCTTAACAAATGTCAACATGTATGATAGATATATTACAAATTCTCACAACTTTATGATAATGTGTGATCATTAAAATGGTATGGAAGGGATGCAGGAATAGGCAAGATAATAGAGCAGGACAAAAAGCTCAGATTAGAAAAAACTCATATATTCATAAGAATGTATATGTAAGGTGTTATTTTAAACAGGTAAGCATGTAAAAGATCATCCAAAACTGGTAGGGAAATAAGCAAATAATGATTTCAGGAAAAAATTAAATCCATACCTTATACCATCCATGAAAATTAATTCCAAGTAAATCAAAGATGCAAATGTAAAATATGTGACATAAAAGTTCTAGAGGTTTTGAGACTCAAGTGAGACTATGTGTGTCATGCTCGGCACATCGTGGGCCTTGTGACACTAACACCCTGCACCCTGCACGTTATATTTACCAAGAGGCAAGCACACGATATTAGGAGAGGGGCAAGTGTCACAGAAAAACACAAAGATGGTGGGTTATCTCCAAGAAATTTGTTATCATCCATTCATTTCAATGTGCCTGATGTGCTTCGTAAGCACAGATAATATGTAGACTGACCTAGTCTCCATCATCTTTAAAGCGGGACTAAACAATAAATTTGATTCAATAAGATAGCTATCAGAAGGTACCTGAAAATATAATCCTAAATTTGCACTGGGAATAGCCATATAAATTCACAACATATTTTCTTTTTAGTAAGTGTATTCCCAGTGTTCATGCCCCCAGAGGCCAGGAAACAATGCCTAACTCAGTTGCAGATTAGGTCCTCTAGATGAAATTTCTTGTTAAAAGGAGGGAGTGCTCCTCAAGAAACTGCTGATTCCAGGTCTAGAATGTAACATGAACACAATGGGCCTGCAAAACAGTCCTAGCAGGCAGCGAGGCAAGTGTCCAAGACCTCTTCAAACAGGCTTCCGATGGCGAAGCGGAGAGAATTTGCTCCTCAGTAAGGACAACAACTGCAACATGAAAGTGTTTAAAATCTATGAGATCATAGAGATACCTAATTAAAACCATTCACTGGCCACTTCTGGAGCGTGTTAGGGAAGCAACTCTCTAAGAAAAGAATTCAACATTTATCTGGCCTATCCTGTAAGAATCGTGTTTTCAGTAAGTAAATAGTTAATGAAAGTTCTCTTTAAAGGGGCATTCTAATTAATACTTTAAAAATAATAGAATTAGACTATTACCATTTGAAACACTTGATGATGATCACTTCTCGGCCTCTTGGCTAAGATCAAATGAAACACTTGATAAAATAACAAATCTAGGAAACGATTGTTGGAAAGCTTTGTGCATGAATGAACACACTGACCAAGCTGAGCTTGACAAATATACAAGACACTACTCATCTCTTCATAGAAGTACAAGCGTATGTATGAAGTATTCTTGCCAAAAAATGTCAAAGCTGAATCTGATCAAGCTTGTAGATACAACTACTAGCTTTCAGAACAGACAGGGACATGACAGAGGTGTGACAAGCAAATCCAGAAGTTGAGAAACTCTGCAGGAAAAAAAAAGTTAATTCAACAAATATTTGTCCAAGGAAAAAAAAGAGGAGAGAAAAATCTATAGAATAAAAGATGCATAAAGTTAACAGATAACACATAGAGTTTACTTGAATACTTAAATCAACTATTTAAAAAACTTTTTAATAAGAGAAATTTGAAAACTGACTAGATAGTTGATGCGATTAACACTTTTGAGGTATGATAATAGTATTGTGGTTATACCTGAAAACTAGCTGGATATTAAGTGACAGTAGAGAATTATACTTAGTTTTTTGAATATAACATATTATGACTTTTTTACATGGTTACTTTTTAGAGATACACAATGAAACATAAAGTAACATGAATACAGAAATGGGGAATATATATATTTATATATTTCACCAAAAATGTATACATTAGGAAAGGAAAAACTTGTACAAATATTTTAATACTAAATTTATTAAGACATCGTGATTAATACAGGTTACCTTTGGGCTCTACAATTATAAGAGGTGCACAAAGTGGTGGCCATTAGCTTGCAGATATTTATTAGGATGGTGAACTGCTGAAGTGTATACATTTTGTGTATGTACTGAAATGTATAAATCTTGTCATATTTTAACAAAGTTAAATATAAACCTTGTTATGAGAACCCTGTTCAGTGATAGGCAGATTTTAAAAAAAATATTGACTGAGAAGCTTGGTAGAGAAGTACAGAGATTTGCTTTTTAGGTTCAAGATTAGTTTTTCTCCAACTTATTTTTCTTTATATTCATTTGAGAAATAAATATTCATAGAAGCTGCCAGTTCTTTTTGGAAGGTAAAGGATCATCAAATTTTTCTCACTTACTTGCCAGAGTACCGAGGATAGAACCAAAAAAAGTGAGATGCTCAATAAAAACCTTTTTTTGTGAAATTAATGTGTATATAAAACTGTCAGCAATACATACTTTTGCCTCCTTACAAGCTGCCTAGATTTTTTCTTTTAAATTTTCATGTAATTTTGCACATTGAAGCAGAGAAAACTAGTTTTCTAGTTATTTGTGTTTTATATTATGTTAAAAAGCAAAATATAGAAACTTCTACCTTATAGACTCCAGCTTAATTAATGGTCATAACAAATGCTCTTATTTTTAAAAACCAAGTTAACTGAATGTTAATGAATCTTTCTAGGTTATTCATTTTTAGGCACATGAAATACCATTTCTTGTTGAGGAAACTCAGAAGACTTTGAATACCCAAATCAATGTCTGAATCATATGGAACTATTAACAATAATAAGCTTAGGGCAAAGAGTACAATGAATAAAATCTATGAAAAGCATAATTTTTCTTAGATTCTTTTGTATTTGGCTGCAGATGACTAAGTATGACCAAAAGTAGCTGTGTCATGTGATGACTGTGACTGTGGTGTGTTAGTTTAAAAATTATAAATAGATGAAATCTAGGGCCTATAAATTAGAAGGACCAAATTTTTTCTGAGTGTCACATCAATTAGGAGTTACTGTTGTTAATAAAGAAAAAGATAAAAAATTAAAATTAAAAAGTTAGGGTACAGTCAATTTTCAAGCGTCTGAATTACTCTTGGAAGAAAGCCAGCTGCGCATGTGCTTGGAAGTTGAAGTCATCCAAGAGTTACTTAAGGAGGGCAATATTTGAAAAGCTCAGAAATCACTACCTGTCTTGGAAACTGCTTCTTCATTCCTTCAACATTCCATCTAGACTTTGGTCAGTGGTAAGTGATAAAATCACTTTTAACCTAGACCGATTACATCTTCTGGTAGAGGAGGGAGAGTCTGAGTTGGCCTATTAGTGTTCAGCATTTTGCTCTTTATATTCCAGTGAGTTAAAGAGGCCCCTAAATTTAGAAGAAAAAAAAATTTTTTTTTGTCTTTGCTCTATGGCAGAGTATCTGGTAAAATTAAATATATAACTAGTTTTATAGTGTTGACAAAAGATCTGCTGGATATTTTAGAAGCTTTTCAGTCATTAGCTCTTACTCAGCAGTTCCTATTCTTACTATTTATTTTATTAGGCAGGCGAATAAATAATTTATTAAGAAAGAAACAAAAATTCAATGAAGGTGAATTTATGCTGAGCTTGTCTATGCCTCATGCTTTTATTTTCTACCAGCATAAACAAAAGAAAAATATTTATGAGCTTATTCTGTCAACTTTTCATTAGAATATATGTATATTTTTCTTTCAAGGTCTGTGATATATAGCTTTCATTTGTTCTAGGGATTATTTTTCAAAACAACTCATTTTAGAACAAATAATATTTAATTAGATACCTACTTTCAATTTAGGTGACTGATTGGGCTGAAATGCTTGACTATTTAATGAATTTATTGTGTTTTAAGCAAAACCATTGTAAAACATTTGAAATAAATAGGTTCTACCTTGCTGAAATTGTTTCTTGAAAAGTGGATACAGTAGCAGAATTTTATTCTTACTGTGGTAAAGAAAACTCAGAGGGAGGATCTCTGCACATTTGACCTTTAGATATCAACATCCCTTGCCATCTTCTATTAGATTGTTTCCTTTTTTTTTTTTTTTTGGAACCAGGTATCAAACTTGGGACCTTGTGCTTGCAAGGCAGGCGGTGGAACCACTGAGCTAAATCCCTGGCTCTTCCATTTTAGTTTTTGTGCTGTTATTGTTTTGGAAGTACTGGGGATTGAACCCAAGGCATTCAGACTGAGTTACAGCCTCAGCCTTTTATTGTTATTTTTTGTTATGATTTGAGGCAGGGTCTCACTAAGTAACTACATTGCCAAGACTGGGTTTAGACCTGTGATCCTCCTGTTTTAGCCTCCCAGAGGGCTGGAATTACAGTATGCCACCTTGCTGAGCTTGCTAGTAGTTTAAAATCTGACATCAGAGTCTTCAAAAAACAAAACAAAACAAAACCTTTTGCATGTCTGAACGGTTAGTGTGAGTGGGAAATAACAGTGAATAGGAATAATGTGTTTGAAAACTCTGGTCTTTGTGAGAATTATTCATTAATAAAATGCTTCCTGTTTATGAAAGAACAGCACTATGGGAGATTATTTAATGTATTCTTATGTTGCAGCATGAATAGCAAAAACCAAATGTAATAGTTGAAAGATTTGGCTTAATTTATTATTTGATGTTGCAGCCTGATTCAGTTGTCTTCAAAAATAAAAATTTACTTTTCAATATGTCTACTTATAGGACAAATAGTGAAATAATCTTACATTCAAGTTGATTGTTGCCTGTGACTTTCATCATAAGATCAGGTTTAGTTTATAGGAAGCAGTTCTTTCTTAAAGGAATTATTTGAGTAAAACAAATTCAACCTTATTATTAAATTGAGTTACAATGAGCATTAGGTAGGCACAGTTTTTACTTTAACAGGTTAAATTTAGCATCACTCAAGTTGTACCCACCCAGTTTTGTGAAATTCTCTATCCGAAAACAAGAGGGTGTGTGTGTGCATGTGTGTGTGTGTGTGTAATATTCATAGTCAAATAAGTTTGGGAACTAATATATTCTGTATTCCTAGCCTCCATTTTGAAATGTTCAAGGTTCCTGAGAATATTAAAACTGTGCTCTGCATAAACTTTTTTTTTGTACTAGGAACTGAATCCAGGGGTTTACCCTGAGGTGTATTCTCACTATTTATTTGTGTGTGTCTGTGTGTGTGTGTATGTTTCTTGAGACAAGGTCTCACTAAATTCCCAGGCTGCCTGGAACTTGCAATCTTACCTGAGTAGCGGGATTCCTGGGCTGGCCCAGCTTCTTTCATTCTTTAATCTAGGTTTGCATACAAATAGTTCAGAGGCAAGTAGTTCTGAAGTTTTTAAAGACAAATAACAGATCTTCTTTTCTATTTCCCATTGTTCAGAAGCCATATTAGCTGATATTTTTGATAACTACCCATTGAAATAATACAATGGTATAGCTACTTCCTAAGTATGTTTTACTTTACCTTTACCTATTGACTTCTCTCTGTGAAAGATGAGAATTTATTTAGCTTATTCCCCACATCACCTCTTTTACTTGCCTGTTTACAGGCACATGTGCACATTCCAACACTCATACACACAATTCCCATCCTTCCATTCTTGAAAATTATGTTGCAGTTTGGGTTATAGCCACATATAGTGTTTAAATAGTTAAGAATGTCCAGTTTACAGCTAATCTACCCAGAACAATAACTGTTATATGATACCTATGATTGTGATGCATTAGTTAAAAATTATACATAGATGATTTCTAGAGCCTTTTGAGAAGGACTATTTGCTCTATTTTTGTATAACTTTGTGTTTCTTTCTGGAGTTTATAATTGTTATTCTTATTTTTCCGTGAGTAGTAATTTACATTTCGACCAATAGTTTATAAGAATTCTCCTTTCTCTGCCTTTTCACCAGAATTTGTTATTTTTTTTATCTTTTTGATGATAGCAATTGTAATTGGTGTGAGGTGATATTATGAGTTTTATTTGCATTTCCCTGACTAGTGAGATTGAGTGCTTTTTTCATTTACTTGCTGGTTGTTTGTATGTCTTCTTTTAACAAGTGTCTACTTTAGTTCCTTATAGGCTAGAATTATTTTTCCTTTTTTTTTTTTTTCTTTTTTTTTGAGACAGGGTCTCACTATGTAGTTCAGGTGGCCTTGAACTCACTATGTAGCCCAGGCTGTATTGGAACTCATGGCATTCCTCCTGCCTCAGCCTCCTGAGTGCTGGGATTACAGACATGTGCCACCACACCCAGCTATTTTTCCTTAAGGAAAACAATTGTCTTCTAACTTACAGTCTTATTGAGAAATCCAAAGCAATCTAATTTATAATCCTTTGTACATGCCTCTACCTCCATCCTGAATCCTGGGACAAAGTTTCCAGGTCCTCAGGGATACATT